TTACAAATCAATTTTTAACCTAAGTATTTTTACTGTAATGTTAGTAAATGAGTCCTCTCCTGTTTAACACTTTTAAAATTAAAAGCATTGTACATGCATTCTTCACTATAGAAGCGTTTATAATGTTTTCAAAATTTTATAAAAAAAATTACTGCCAAGCCAACAGAAGTTTATATTTTATTTGCCTCATATTTGGAGTTGATTAATTGAATTTCAAACGATCTTCTGTGAGAAAATCCAGTCTAAATATTTTGACTAAATATTTAGTCTAACATTGTGGTTTATAGTGTACATTTTAAACGGATTGATGCGGTGAAGAAATGAGGCAAACGGTTAAACAAAATTGTACATGCAGAAAATTACAAAGAAAATAAATTGTACCGATATACCATGATTACAATTGAGTACTCACTTATAGGCTAATTCTAATCCGCCGTTTACCATTCATTTTGATAATACATGATACAATGTATAAAACCGTTACACGTAAGATACGCAGATGTACTCTTACTGCTCATGAAGTCAGCATTAAGAGTAAGTCCGCGGTAGCACAATGTGGCACATTCCTTCCGTTTGTGAGACTGAGAAATTCCAACTTTGTTGGGAAAAGGGGAACTAGAGGCGGACAAACATTAGAACTGAAGCACGTTCAACGCCCGAGTTCGCCTATACATAACTACCCACCACCATTGAAACGCCGTAGTCTCCTGACGACAAGCAGAGCATACGGACCGAAACGTTAATTTCCCCGGTTCTTCTAAGAACCACACAAACTCACAAGAGAGTGTTCCTCTCGCATGATGCTACCGCAAACTACTCTTATACATTTCACGAAACAAACGTTCAGTGTTATTACATGACTGCGAATATAATAAACCTTCACCCTGCCAAGCAAAAAATAAACAAACAAAATAACACCTTTAGTGTACATGACTAGTATAATTACGGGAAATGGTACCTTAAGGGTGCGCATAAAAGATGTTCAACTGAAATCACCCCTTACCCCTATTTTCCTTTATTTCACCCCCACGAATTTTGGCAAATCGATGTAGCTTATTGTCGACGATAACATTTTGCCTCGAATAAGTTGTGACATGAGCGAGACATTGAAATGTCTTCCTAATGTCCCATGTCTCCCTAAGATATACCTTGTAATGGAAAAAAGTCTCCTTAAGGTTACATTAACAAGAACTATATCAACATTAAGCCTATTACAATAACATAAACACTATAAAGTAAAATACACCTTTTGTTTCCTGAAAATACACCATACATTACTTTTTTTTTTTTTTTAAGAATCCCCAATCCAATAACGTAATTAATACATTTCCTACTTCCGATCAAAGTACAATTTACCTACACGCTACTATAATTAATACAAGATGTAATAAAATACAGGGTGAATAAGAAAAAAGAAACCCAAATAAACCCTTTAAATGTTGACAATGGTTTAAATGTATATTCACATGTGCAGAAGCGTTTACAATATTTAAAAAAATTGTACATTGTGGTTTATAGTGTACATTTTAAACGGATTGATGCGGTGAAGAAATGAAGCAACCGGATAAACAAACTGAATTGTACATGCAGAAAATTACAAAGAAAATACATATTAAAGATATATAACCATGATTACAATTGATTACTCACCTATAGGCTAATTCTAATCCGCCGTTTACCATTCATTTTGATAATACATGATACAATGTATAAACCCGTTACACGTAAGATACGCAGATGTACTCTTACTGCTGATGAAGTCCGCAATAAGAGTAAGTCCGCGGTAGCACCATGTGGAACATTCCTTCCGTTTGTGAGACTGAGAAATTCCAACTTTGTTGGGAAAAGGGGAACTAGAGGCGGACAAGCATTACAACTGAAGCACGTTCACCGCCCGAGTTCGCCTATACATAACTGCCCACCACCGTTGAAACGCCTCAGTCTTCTGACGACGAGCAGAGCATACGGTCCGGAACGTTGATTTCCCCCGGTTCTTCTCAGAACTACACAACCCTCACAAGAGAGTGTTCCTCTCGCATGATGCTACCGCAAACTACTCATACATTTCACGAAACAAACGTTCAGTGTTATAACATGACTGCAAATATTATAAACCTTCATCCTGCCAAGCAAAAAATAAACAAACAAAATAACACCTTCAGTGTACATGACTAGTGTAATTACGGGAAATGGTACCTTAAGGGTGCGCATAAAAGATGTTCAACTGAAATCACCCCTTACCCCTATTTTCCTTTATTTCACCCCCACGAATTTTGGCATATTTACGTGTTGGACCACGAGCAATCGATCTAGCCTATTGTCGACGATAACATTTTTCCTTTAATAAGTTGTGGCATTAGGGAGACATTGAAAAGTCTTCCTAATGTCCCATGTCTCCCTAAGATATAACTTGTAATGGGAAAATGTCTCCTTAAAGTTACATTAACTAGAACTATATCAACATTAAGCCTATTACAATAACATATACACTATAAAGTTTAATACACCTTGTGTTTCCTGAAAATACACATAATCTTTCTTTTTTTTAAGAATCCCCAATCCAATAACGTAATTAATACATTTCCTACTTCCAATCAAGTACAATTTACCTACACGCTACTATAATTAATACAAGATGTAATAATATACAGGGTGAATAAAAAAAATGAAACCCAAATAAACCCATTAAATGTTGACAATGGTTTAAATGTATATTCACATGTGCAGAAGCGTTTACAATATTTTAAAAAGTTGTACATTGTGGTTTATAGTGTACATTTTAAACGGATTGATGCGGTGAAGAAATGAGGCAAACGGTTAAACAGACTGAATTGTACATGCAGAAAATTACAAAGAAAATACATATTATAGATATATAACCATGATTACTCACTTATAGGCTAATTCTAATCCGCCGTTTACCATTCATTTTGATAATACATGATACAATTTATAAAACCGTTACACGTAAGATACGCAGATGTACTCTTACTGCTGATGAAGTCAGCAATAAGAGTAAGTCCGCGGTAGCACAATGTGGAACATTCCTTCCGTTTGTGAGACTGAGAAATTCAAACTTTGTTGGGAAAAGGGGAACTAGAGGCGGACAAGCATTAGAACTGAAGCATGTTCACCGCCCAAGTTCGCCTATACATAACTACCCACCACCGTTGGAACGCCTCAGTCTCCTGACGACGAGCAGAGCATACGGTCCAAAACGTTGATTTCCTCCGGTTCTTCTAAGAACCACACAAACTCACAAGAGAGCTTTCCTCTCGCATGATGCTACCGCAAACTACTCTTATACATTTCACGAAACAAACGTTCAGTGTTATTAGGCTACATGGCTGCGAATATTATAAACCTTCACCCTGCCAAGCAAAAAACAATCAAAAAAATAACACCTTTGTGTACATGACTAGTATAATTACGGGAAATGGGACCTTAAGGGTGCACATAAAAGATGTTCAACTTAAATCACCCCTTACCCCTATTTTCCTTTATTTCACCCCCACGAATTTTGGCATATTTACGTGTTGGACCACGAGCAATCGATCTAGCCAATTGTCGACGATAATATTTTCCTCTAATAAGTTGTGGCATTAGGGAGACATTGAAAAGTCTTCCTATTGTCCCATGTCTCCCTACCTAAGATATAACTTGTAATGGAGAAATGTCTCCTTAAGGTTACATTAAAAAGAACTATATCAACATTAAGCCTATTACAATAACATATACACTAAAAAGTAAAATACACCTTTTGTTTCCGTAAAATACACCATACATTTATACTTTTTTTTTTTTTTTTTTTTTAAATCCGCAATCCAATTACGTCTCTAATAATTTTACTACTTTACTACGATAAAACAATATTTATCTACACGCTATTATAATTAATACAAGATGTAATAAAATATAATGAGCTATTCGTGGATAGGGACCATTGTACCAAAGGTACCACAAAACTGGTTTTTTTTTAATTATTTGTTTTATTTATTAAAACTCTAAAACCGGATACTGCCCGGGGCTGTATTGCCGTGACTTCCAAGACTTTACAATTACAGACAACTTGCAGGGGTGGCAAGTTCCCAGGACGCTGCCGTTTTCCCGGTAATTTTGCGGGAACATCATTTTGCCAACTCATTTGTGCTCATTACATGTGGAACATTTTGTTCCACCTTTGTGGTTTGCAATGAAGTCCCCCACTCCCTAAAAATATTAAATTGGAATTTGGGCTTTTCTAGGCCGTTTCAAAGTAAATTAGACCAAAGTTCCTTGTTAAGACAAAGTTTGAAAGGGCCTACAAAACTGGGACTGTAAAATTTGTTTCTACATATTTTCTACTCTAAATAGCAATCCCTGAACTTAAACCGAGTTCGCTACATCGATAATACTAACCGAGTGTACAAGAGCCAATAGAAGTCCAAAGCCAACGCCAGTTATTCAAAATAGTAAGCTTTGACTAAGTTAAGGAATGAGTAAAAACAAGGGCCTCACATTGGCATTGATAGCCCCCATTTAGAGGGAATGTACATCATTGGCTTTTGCTGTTATTTTCAGAAATGAACTATTTGAGGGGCTAGTAAATATATCAAATATTGTTACACAGACATGTTTGAAGTTTTTTGTTCGAAAATGCTGAAAAAACCAAGAAAAACAAAAGTGTTCAAGTAGTCTGGTTCCTTGACTCTACTAAAGATAAAATGGATCAATTAATAGGTGTCGGAAAGTCGTAAGGTAAGGGAACCAGTTTAGCTGGCCTGCACCCGTTCATGAACATGTAACCAATAGCAAACAAAATTTGGACTGAAAAAAGTGTTAAGTTGGAGCAGTAGTTGAAAAATAGTTAGGTTTTTCCAACGGTGGTCGGCCGACCACCGTTGGAAATGTATACAAAAATACAATTTTTCTTGAAAATTACTTCACACCAGGTGCCATAATTTACAGGATGCTTTAGACTGTCATTTACCAACATCCTAGTAAGGTATTTCTTAAAAACGTGCTAGTTTTATTTTTCGATGTTTGCAAATGTTGTATATTCCCTTTAACCCTCCAAAGTACATGTATGTGGTTCCATAAAAAGTTCTTTAGTACAAGTAATCGTCGGTCATCCTTTCTTGATCCATTTTACGCATCTGCCAAAAGAAAAGAAAATGTAAGTTCGATTTACACAATTTCGACAGCACCAATACAAAATCTTACCGTAAAGCATGGTAGCATAGATTAAGTGTAAAACAGTACAAAAAGGCAGAATGCAATTGTCTACAGCAACAACAACTACAGTATACTACATGAACAGAGCATTGGGTTTTCTCCATTGTGATTTGTCCGTCCATGTCTAGTCTGGTAGCTTATCGATTTCAAATATGAACAAAGTTGCCGGACGAATCTGGTGTTTCGGAAAGACTTCTTGTAGATTTCGAGATAAAGGACTGTAAAATATGCACATAAGATTACGTCACATGACCCATAGTGACGTCATCGTGACCTTTGAGCTTTGTCTTTGTGTAATTTAATTTGAATTTGAGTGAATTTCACGTCAAAATTTTGCTAGTAAAATGTTAACAGTTTCAAAAATTAATAAAAATGTCACCAGATGATGTCATTGTGACGTCACTTTGGATTTTATCTACATACCCACCAAATATCATGACAATCGGACTTACCCTTATAATTGTTTTGTAATGATCGCTGTTTGAAGTTACATGACACAATTTGTGCAAGTATCTAACCCAACAAACCTATATTAACAAAATAATGTTGAATTACAATGCTCTGTTGATGAGATATTTCAAACTCAAAAGCCAAAGCTAATCACATAATGACGTCACCTCAAATTTCATCTTGAACACGTCCCTGTCTATACCAAGTTTCATCCCAATCGGACTTGTAGTTCTCTAGATGTAGGTTGAAATGTGCACCTTTAAGGTAACGTCAGACGACATGTGATGACGTCATTATGACACTCATCTTCGCGACACATGTTTGCTATATGGTCTGTGTTTATGTTAAGTTTCATCAAGACCTGAGCCTTCAAAGTGTCCAAAGTGGTTATAGCGACATACTCGTGTACAAAGTCTGTCTGATTTGCAAAAGAACAGAAATAAGACTTAAGAAGAAGTTAGAACAATCTGAACAAAAGGGGAGGCTTTTCTAAAACTGTGCAGAAAAGCCAAAAAAAAAAAAAACGTGAACCTACCAGTGCTGGGCCGGGTATCATGTATGGAGAGTAAGATCTCGAGAATCCGTCTTCTCTACGATAGTTAGTACTGTAGTCATAGGTTCGATAGAATGCGCGTGCATCGTCCATTGATCCATCGTCCACTTCCTGCATTGTCATGTCGAACAAGACAAAAGTAGTTGAACTTATACAAACAAATCCAGTTTTCTTACACCAAGGTCCGAATTTGTATGATTGGAAACATATAGTTGTATAATTCTGTTCACAGCCGAGATGAGTTGAAAGTAGCAACAGACGTGAATAAGTAATCCCTGCCCGTATTAAACGAAAAAGGGTCTCTGTGATTCGGCTTGTTGCGTGAATATTTAACATGCTTACCAAGACGGTGCGGGGCATGATAGCAGGACGAGTCCAATTCCTCACTCCGTAGCGATAACGCTCTCTGGCATGGTCCTCTTCCTATTTGCAACACACGGAAGGAATTGACAACTTAAACATGTTATACAGTTTTGAAAGGTCTTTCAGTGAATAACTGAAAATGTTGTAGTTGCAATGATTTGCTCCTTTTCCTAAGAATTCAGCATTTGTCGTACATGAGAACAAAATACTACATAAATTCAGCTTATTAGATACTTTTGTGAGTTGAACATTACAAAAACAACCGAGTTGTTCCATATCAGATAAAATATGACGAAACCTTAATCCACGGTGGATATCTTTGAGGACTTACACATTTTTACTTTTTAACTGTTTAATTTTTTTCAGTCACACTCGCTTGTATAAAATAACTACAGCTGACACGGAAATCTCTGTATCTCTTTTACCTGTTGTGCAAAGCGTCTGCGTCGTTGCAGGGGACCTTCAGAGCGATTTGCCATGATGGCGCACACACATATCATAACAACAATGCTGCATAACAGGAGTGCACCGACTGTAGTGGCAATGGCAATGATTCCACCGTTCCCAGGTACTGTTTTATGAAATCAGTGGAATAGAATGTCCTTAGCTATTTGTTTTACATCCTCAATGTTACTGATTAAATACAATAAAGTTACACGGAGCAACAAGAAAAGAAGGCTTAATTTGATACCTTGAGTTGCAACACGGTTTCTACACACAAGGATGAACGGCTGTTCTGAGCTCTAGTACAAAATGCACTTGCCTTAATTGGTTGGACGCGTGATAACGGGCATTAATACCCGTTGCCATGTTAATCGCGAATGTTGTAGGTGTGCCATTTTGTCGGTGGTTTTGCATGACATCTAAAACGGAAATATTCTTAAAACCGTAAACAAAACCACTCCCTTTAATATATAAATACTAGTTCCAAAATTGTTAAAAAATAAATACTTCAACAGCTATTGTGCAGTTGTTGTCGTCCTAGATAAAGTATTTACTCGGGAACTAAACGTCAAATGTGACACCTTTTTTGAGGAAAACTCAGTTTACCCAAATCTCGTGTTTAATTAGGCTTTCATTAAACAGTTTTAGAGAGATGTGGTCCAAAACCAATTAAACAAATGCGACATTGCAAAGTTCATTTTAAAGCTAAAGATATTGTGCTGGGCGTTAACATGGTCATGTAGTTAACAATAAAGGTAGGATCATGAATATTCAAAAATATAATAAGCTGGCTTGACAGACTTCGACACGCGATCGGGAGCAGACCTCTGCAAATCTGTAAGCTGCCGCGCGCAGGGGTCTTTGTTGACAAGTATTTATGGTATTTCCACCTTTACGGGCTGTTATCATTCGTCTAACCATAAGTTTGGCCGAGTCGTTCAGCCTTGTGTGTAGGAACCGTGGTTGCAATAAGTATTGTTAGGCTTATTTCGATGCTTTTCACACAAGCGAACTGCTATAATTGTGTCGTCAAGGACAATGTTGTTGGTAAAACCTTTTCGCTCCGAGCCCGCGTCCCGAGTCGGGGACGTGCAGCTCAACCTTAAGACAATTCCTCTAATTATCTGTTGAACAAATGGCAGTTTGATTTATATTCATTATTGGCAAACAATGTTTGGAGCAATATGAAGCGAGTGTCTAATGTTATGTCATTTGGCGTTGACGAATAGAGCCTAAATTTCGCACCTGTTTCCTCGCAGTAGGTTCCCGTGTAACCATCCGAGCACCTGTGAAATAATAACAATTTCAGTAAGTGAATAATTACAAAGACTTATAATTCATATTTTCTGACTCTTTTAATTTTGCCTTAACCTTATCAATTTTCCTCAACTCGGTGACTTCCCTACCGAATGTAGATAGGGCATAAAACGTTTAATTGATCTTTGAAATTGAAGAGCTATTCCAATCACAGCCATACTCACATCATACCAGAAGACATATATATATGTGAGAACATATAGACATGTGACATCATCGGAAATATGTTACGAAGCCTTGGGATAAATAATCCAAATTTCAAGTGCACCACGTGTTTTAAAAGGTTTACAGGACTTACCCGCAGGTGTAAACATAATCTGGGAAACTTCCGCTTTGTGTACACACGCCTCCATTTTGACAAACATATGCCGGGCAAACCTCAGTTGGGGCTGTGTTATAAATAAAAACATAAAGTCGAAACTAAGAAGTTGTCACGTGTCCAAGAACACACGTATTTATATTTTCATTTGTAATTTATATTTGGTTTATTACGTTAGAGCAAACGGAATGGACCAATCCAGTAAGCCCCACCCACTGCGCACGTGGGCAAATTAACACGTGCTCCTCTCCAATGCCACACTGCATTTTCCTGCCGCACGCATCATACGCGCGTGCACGCATGTCGGACTTTTGTGCACGCATGTCGGACATAAATCACGGCTGTGATTGGTCAGAATACCATGGGGCGGTGCTTACTGGATCGGTCCATTAGGAGCTAGCCTTCATTATATACAGAACAAGTCGTAGACAACATAATCCTTCGTATTTGCGGTACACACTTCATTCATCACATCGAGTGTTTGCATTATGAATATTTTTATCTTGTAACACAGCGGGGGAGATGATGAAAGAAATATTTAGAATATATATCTTGTGAAAGTCCCTGAAATTCGGGCGTTTCACAATGCAATGCGCCACCAAGAGTTTGCCACGAGAGTCCATTTTCAAGTTTACGGTCGACAATACACGGCCCATTTGAACGAGTATCAGAAGACAACGAATTGAGGTAATTTGTTTATGATTGAGACATAGCGTTCTGCTGTCTTACAAAACAGATACTCGAATCATACGCTTATGAAATTACTGACCGGACAAATAAACAATTTCAAATTGTCCGCGCTGCGTATTTGTCGACCGTCTCCCACTGTGCACTGGAAAACTCTTGGTGGCTCACTGCATTGTGAAACGTCCGAGTTAGACAGGGACAGTATGTCATACGCTTTAACGCTGCTTCATGACGGCACACCTGGCGTTTAAACAAACATGAATCACAGGTAGCTGCTTCAGGCACCTTTTTGCATGCTACTACAATTATTTTTACAAATTTTACTTTGAGGTTTAAGTAAAGTTGCTATACTGCGTCAATAAAAATGTGATACTACTCTATTTTGTATCCACAAATGACGTTCGGCTGTTGTATCGCTTCCATACATATGCCACATTTCCACTTCCATGTTCGCTTGGGAATAACTAAGACTATAGTTTTCAAAGGAAGACGACAGCTACTCAAGTGCAAAACAAACAATAATACATACCAGTCACGACTGTACCCGATAGGTCAATGGTGAGTGAGTTGTCGATTAATCCGTTATTGCTCATCGCTTCACTATGGAGCACCTCTCTTATAGCTGCACTTTCAATGACGGAGTTGAGCGGGAATCTGGCCACACCATTCACCAACAAACTCCCATCACGAACCGAGATCACTTCATAATCCACTACATTGGATGTCCTAGGTGACCTGCGAAGGGCTGCAATCACCTATTATGGATGTATCAGGGAGCATAGAAAAATAACAAGCATTAGCATTAAAAAAAATACTACAGAATCTAGAGAAATATGAAATGCAAACAGTGCAAACTCGAGCGACACAGTTTGAGACAATCACAACATACCTTTATCGTATCATAACAAAACAACTTATTTAAAAGCAACCACAGAATAGGCAAACATAATCAGGGGAGTATGTTTTTTTAAGAAAAAAATGGGCAAAAAAAACAAATGCCAACAAAATCAGCAAAATAATCTCAAGTTATAGATTTAAAGGCCGAAATCTATTGTCGTGTCAGATGTTACGGATTTTCGACGTTTTTTTCGTATTGATTTCCTGTGAGTTAGACCCTTAAACTTAGGTAAGTAACCAATCTACAGCATAATTTGTTTTTGCAACATCTTGCCAAATGTTCACATTTGAAACAGCCAAAAGAAATAATAGGGCACTATTTAGTCATACTTACTGCCGGGCGAATAATATTTGCTACATCACGAAACTCTTGGGAGTTGCTGTCTGTGAGTCGATCGTTGAAGACCGCAAGTGCACCGTTCAGTTCAAGAATCCGTAACTGACAGCTGAACTCCATCGTTCCTGATATAAAAATGTTATCTTTAATGGGATTTGTGCAAGCAAAACAGTATAGCAACGTGTTATGGCTAACCCTCCTATGCAAACACACACTCTGTGCAAAGTTGCCCTTTCAGTCAAAATCAGTCAATTGACTTGTTTTAACAGTTCACTGGAGCGGGAATATCATTTACTGACAGATTCAACCAAACCTTCGTCCTATAGTAAATCGGGCGCGAGGAAGGCTTGACCATTAGTGAGTGATATGAAATGGATGATCAATTCTCTTGCTACTACATTATGGTCAATGATTGAATTTGATTCTATCAATTTCAAATGATGCATTCACGGAGGCAGTGTTGTAGTCCAATCCATCACAAGTCCTTTAAGAAGTAAATCACAAGTCCTTTACTGGTCTGGTCCCAACGTACAAGGGTGAACAATGCAAAAGTAATGCTTTTGTCGCATGTCACTTAGATAGGTTGTGTCTTGACTCGAGACATGATGACTGTGATGGACTCGACTACAGGGTGAGTAATAAAAACGAAACCAAAATGTTGGGACAATTGTTTTAGTGAAGTTCTACATGTAGCACTTTCAAAATCTAGGAAAACAAATCGCATAGCGATGTGTGCAAATTGTTTTCGTTTTGCTGAAAGAACGCACACCTTTTTTGTGATCCGTGGACTGAACTTTAAAACGGTGGTTGTGTTTCAAACTCTGTAACTTAAAAAGAACATGAGTGATTTGAATAATTCTGGTAATGAACAAAAGCTTTTGAATTGGGCTTCCATGTCCTAGATTTTGGAAGTGCTACATGCAGAAGTTCAATAAAACAAGAGTCTCGATATTTGGGTTTCGTTGTTTTTTACCCACCCTGTACAACCCTACATGCATGTGGATTAAAAAAATATCTAACCTTTAGTAAATAATATACCTTCAGTAACAGTTGATGACTCCCCTCCGTCTGCAGTGGATGTTGTTGCAATCCCTCCGTTTCCTCCGTCCGAAGTTGATGTTTGGTCGATCATTGCGCCTGTTGTTGCAATCTCTCCGTCCCCTCCGTCTGCTGCAGTGGATGTTTGGTCGATCGACGCATCCGTTGGCAAAACGCCAGTGACTCGTTCAACAGTTGTCAGCTCCGGAGTTGCATCTGTAACGGATGTCTGGTCGATCATTGCGCCTGTTGTAGCAACCCCTCCGTCCCCTCTGTCTGCTGCAATGGATGTTTGGTCGATCGACGCATCCGTTGACAAAACGCCAGTGACTCGTTCAACAGTTGTCAGCTCCAGAGTTGCATCTGTAACAGATGTCTGGTCGATCATTGAGCCTGTTGTAGCAACCCCTCCGTCCCCTCCGTCTGCTGCAGTGGATGTTTGGTCGATCGACGCATCCGTTGGCAAAACGATAGTGATTCCTTCAACAGTTGTCAGCTCTGGAGTTGCATCCGTAACATAGGTTTCGTCTGTTGTTGCAATCTCAGTCCCATGGTCAGTAGTGGATAGCTGGATCGGTGCTTCACTGGTGGACGTTTCGTCGTTCGAGGATGTTGCAACCCCAGTCGTTTGTTCACTAGTGGATAGCTCGTCCACTGCAGTGGTCGTTTGGACGTCCGTGGTGACAATTGGTATTTCACCTGTTGCGAAATTCGTTGATGGATTAGTGGCTTTCAAAAGAGTTGGTTAATTTCCACGGACTCAACACAATGAATTGAGGCGTTCTCTTCATTTTCAGAAACTTGAATGTTTTTTTCCCAGGTAACTTATAAGAACAAGACGATGAACTGTAATTTTGGGTATTATTGAATTTGCCCTCAAAATATTTCAATAGTACTTTCCCATTTTGTACTACTAGTTTTTTAAGGTCTTGTCATGTATGGGTCATTCTTCAGTAATTGTCTACTTTGGGCCTTTTGAAAATAGTGAAAAAAATTCTTTAAATGTTAAATTTCTTTCATGGGATGTGTTCATTATGTTGCACAACAACAATAATAGCACACGGCGCAATCTTTAACGGAGTTTTAATCACTCGATAAACATTCAATTTTTATTTTTTTGTAGCATAAGGAAAAAAATGCAACAGTCATATCCGTCACACCTTTTGTGACGGAAATGACAATATCTGAATGAATGTGAAGCCGCATAAATTCAACTAAGGGCTTTTAAAGTGTGAACATAGAATAATAATCAGTTGATATGGGGTTGTTAATATGATAAACCCTATTCACTATCATCTTTATTTTGTTACCATTATCGACTAAAGAAAACGTCAAGACATCATCTCCGTCACGGTAAAATGTGACGGAGTTGACTGTGACGGAGCTGACATATTTAAAATTAAACTCGTTTAGCGCCTTCTACAGTTTGTTTGAAGCATGAATACCACATGTGCTTGGAGGTTTACACAATTCTTACCGTACTCATGAAAACTTTTATAGAATAAAAATATAAATAAGGCATGATCTGAAGCGTTCGGAGATGATGCCCAATAAAGGTACGCACCGATATTGTAGCTAAAAGGCACGATTTTTATGGGTTTTTCTTCACGATAAGTCGAGAAAATTGAACCCAATGCACCGTCGTATCTCACGCGTGTACAAAGACCGAAATCTTGTTTCCATTCGGTGTTTATCAATATTGAGGGCGCTGAATAGGTTCGTGACGACATCTGAATGAAATTCTCGGGACAGACATTTTCCAACAAAAAATATAACATTTAGCACTTAATTGGTGTATAATAGCATATTTTGAAGGATTGAATATATTTAAGTGATAAATACAAATCGTTAAAGAGAATTTAATGAAGAAAAGTCCCTCAACGAAATCAATATAACGATCGTAAATTTTACAAAGTACGATCGGGACATGGGTTTTTCGGGCGTCGACATCAAATATCGGAAAATAAAGAACAATAACAACTTTATTCTCTAGCTTTTCATTATCGTTTCTCATAAATCCTCAAAAATACATTTCATGAATTTACGCATTTTTTGTCTATACGGCGTCAAAGTATCGGGACATGAAAGCAGCCACTTAACGAAGAATGACCCTTTTGCCTTTGTGCTTGGTTTTGTTTTACGTTTTCTCTGTCAAATATTGAGAAGTAAAACAAGTATTGGCCTCACCTTTATGCGTACACGTTAACGTTAGCAGTCATTATTATAATTAATTATAGAAATAACGTGTAACATTGCGTCATTTTATGATTTCTTCATATGTCCTCAGTATTATTTAATATTTGTGTTTAAATGTGTGTACATGTATTTAAATTCCCCACGCATTGAAAAAAAATATAACACTCGGCTCGATGGTATAACCAAGTTCGGCGTTATCGTATTGATATTGTGATTGGAAAGTAGCTCACTGATAAAGTTTGACGAAACATCGGTATTGAAATGTCAATAAGTTTCGTCTTTAAATAATATGTACAGTGCTCCAAGACATCGGCTTCTCCATCAGTGACATCTGCCGCTCCATCCCTACCGATCAGTCCAAAGGGTCTTCTATACCCCAGGACAACTTAGTTCCCCAAACCCTAGTCAGCCTATGGGTCCGATATACCCTTGGCAACCTTCTCCCCCACTCCCTTTCTCCACACTGATACGCCTCACTGATCTGCATGCATCCTCCAGCTTATGCATGGACTCCACACTGACACGCCTCACTGAATAGCCAGTATCACCAGCATTCACTCCCCTATTCCACACTGATACGCCTCAATAATCTTCATGCAACCCCAGCTTCTATATGAACTCCACACTGACACGACTCACTGATCAGCCAGTATCACCAGTATTCACTCCCTTTCTCCACCCTGATACGCCTCACTGATCTTCATGCAACCCCAGCTTCTACAAGGACTCCACTCTGACCCGCCTTACTGATCAGCCAGTATCACCAGCATTCACTCCCTTCCTCCATACTGACACGCCTCACTGATCAGCCAGTATCACCAGCATTCACTCCCTTCCTCCAAACTGATACGTCTCACTGATCTTCATGCAACCTCAGCTTCTACAGGGACTCCAGACTGATACGCCTCACTGATCAGCCAGGATCACCACCATTCACTCCCTTCCTCCATACTGATACGCCTCACTGATCAGCCAGTATCACCAGCATTCACTCCCTTCCTCCATACTGATACGCCTCACTGATCAGCCAGTATCACCAGCATTCACTCCCTTCCTCCATACTGATACGCCTCACTGATCAGCCAGTATCACCAGCATTCACTCCCTTCCTCCATACTGATACGCCTCACTGATCAGCCAGTATCACCAGCATTCACTCCCTTCCTCCACACTGATACGCCTCACTGATCTTCATGCAACCCCAGCTCCTACAGGGACTCCAGACTGATACGCCTCACTGATCAGCCAGTATCACCAGCATTCACTCCCTTCCTCCATACTGATACGCCTCACTGATCTTCATGCAACCCCAGCTTCTACATGGACTCCACACTGACACGCCTCACTGATCAGCCAGTATCACCAGCATTCACTCCCTTCCTCCATACTGATACGCCTCACTGATCTTCATGCAACCCCAGCTTCTACATGGACTCCACACTGACACGCCTCACTGATCAGCCAGTATCACCAGCATTTTCTCCCTTCCTCCACACTTATACGCCTCACTGATCTTCATGCAACCCCAGCTTCTATATGAACTCCACACTGACACGCCTCACTGATCAGCCAGCATCCCATCAGCTCAACTGTTGCATCCTTCACTCGCTTCACTGCCAGTCAAACTACATAACCTTCCTTTACTGTTGGATCCCTACAGTATCCTGACGAGGGCCAGATGCATGCGAATCAATGAGGTCCCCCTGACACTGTTCCTTTCATCAGAACCTCACAAACTCATAAAGAAAGATTTGTCACCATGCCGTGAATTCCCTTATACCAGAAGACCCGAGTATAGAGTCTATATTCGGGTGTTCACCAGAGCTCGTTGCATGATTTCGACCCTCTCTTATCTCTTAATCCCCTTGGGGTATATTACCGAATGAATCCCCTACCCCAGCAGGGAACAATATGTATTGCTTAACTGAACGTCTTGTGGGACATGCATACATCTTACAAAAAACAAACAAATGCCGATTTCTAAAAAAAGGAATAACAGCCAATGTTACTTTTGTTTTGACCAAGTACTGAAACGATCCAATTTTTTTTTGAATCGTTAAAAATGGTGCATGAACGGAAATCCTGAATTGCGGGAATCTTGATCCACAAGTGCAGCAAGCCTACTGTGTGCAGGGTGATTAAAAAAAAAAGGACACCCACTTTTGACAGCAATTTTAACCTACTTAGTGACCTCATTTTCAATATTTTTTTCACAAAGTGGTAAACAAAAAAGCTTAATAAAAGTCGCAAAAATAGTGATGTTATGCTAATTTAAATACAAGTCACCAAAATCAGTCTTGTCCACGGGTTATTCTATGTAAATTGGATGTTTTTGTAGTTCATAAAAATTAAAAAACCTTCCCACCAAAATATATTTTGCCCTGGTAGCTTTTATTGAAGCTGTCCAATTATTCATGTCAGTGTTAAGATCATCTACTCAATGAGCTGTTGGCTTAAGTTCATTGTTGCATAACATTACATAACATAACAATTAAATGTCACGCCTTTTTCAAAAAGCTCCGATAGCTGAGCTCAGTCAAGCAAAGGGAATGTTTACTTCCATGGACAAACAGTTTTCGCACATAAAATGTTCAAATTAGCATAGCTCAACGACAAAATGTGCAAATGCAACGATTTTTTTTCGTCACATTTGCTTTAAGGCCAGTACTTTAACAGCTTCTAATCGGCAGTTAAAAATAATTTTTAAAAATAGGTGAAAATTGCTGTCAAATGTGGGTGTCCTTTTTTTTTTAACCACCCTGTATGTGTATCTGTACGTCCAGAGTATTCCTTTCTCTATGGGTATACAGTGTTTATAACAAACTTTGCAAACAAAATGTAACGGAATGCCAGACGTAGAACGTGTTAGCAAGATAGATAATATAGGTATGGTACGAAAGATACGCGTTACCACTTACAATGAGACATCAAACCTCTAAATTTGATAATTCTTGACAGAGTTATGCGTAATTTTCCAAGAGAGGTCAAATTTACCATAGGACCAGGTTTTCAATTTTAGGCATTGGGGCAAAGGTAGCCTAACTGCCTCTTGTGTCGATATTTGCCTGGCCTACAAAAATGTGTTAAGCAACTAAACACAATTCTAAACACTTTGTTGCTATCACCTCATGCTACAAATGTATCACCTCGTTCTAAATGTGTTTAGAAAAGCATTACCCGCTAAACACATGTTTGTAGTCCACGCAAATCCGTTATATTTCGTTGCATTTTTTTTTATACACACTGCATAAAGTGAAGTTCAAAGTGGAGCACGAAGATTATTGTAAGGGTACATTGAGGATATATCACATATTTGTTTTGAATATTGTTCTTTTCAATCGAAAGATGTATTTCATAAGAAAGACGTGACCAGGGCTCGTAATCATTCAATGCTTGCTGACAACTTCAGGAATTACTTCGCAAATATTTATTGAAAACTGCTGCCTGCTTTTCCAACACAAGAAGATTCACTTCTGTGGTTGAGCCTACGCTACAGAAATGAGAAGATAACATTGTCAATCGTAGAGTCTGCACCTAACACAAACAAATATCTCACTGTATCTGTATTCGGGCCGATAACATACAAAGAAATGGCGTGATAATGAAACAAACACCAACCTATGTTAGAAGTTATTTCCAGGTCATCAATTGCGATATCCGACCTCCCGCTGATGCCCACACCGCGGTTAGCCTGAAGAACTATTTGGAAGCTTGATGTCAGGTCTAATAAAAATACCTCTGCCTTCAGCCATGTAGAGTCGGCAGTTTGCTGCCCAGCCATCGAGTAGACCATCTGACTCGAGCTTAAATTCCCAATTTCAGGTACTTTCAAGACGTTAAGGGTACCTGCATTTTCAGGGAGAAATTGAGACTTTAAGTCATAGGCCTATTCTATATTATGAAAATGAATAGGACTGCTGCAAACTGACTAGACTGACTTGAAATATACAAATCTAAAAGAATCAAGGCGACCTGACGTTGCGATTGGTCATTCCATGTCAAAGCGAAACACACTTTCAGACCTTAAAGGGGCACTAGGTCCTGAAATCCCCGAACATTTCCTGTTTTGGATTGTTTATTTATCCAATTTCAAACATCTTGGTGAAAGGAAACCAATCTAATGTCTTTCCGTTCCCGAGAAAAGACGACCAAAAAAAACCCCGGTTATTTCATCGGACATGACGGAGTACGAATACCCTTTTCCTGTCGTTGAGTCAATGTGCGATATACACGTTGTGTGTGTCTGTGGTACTACATACAGACAGCGCCCGTGCTCGCTCGCGAACAGGGGTGACCAATCACCAATGCACAAAATAATCATGGTTTCTTACACGTCCGCAAAATGCGAACCGTCCGCAAAAGGCGAACTATTAATGAAATCACAACTAGCACCCAAACCGCTCGACTTTTTGGGGTCGCAAAAGTGAACCCCGAAAGTCGTTCTCGCACGCATTATACAGATATAACGCAAATAACCCAGTTTTTAAAGGATAGTTGTGTGGATGTTTATATCCTACGTTGAAACGTTCTTTCCGGTTAACATCTTTTCGTTCAAAGCGCGTTTTGTAGCCCAATTGGGCTGTTCCAGGACGCGGGATCCATTTAAGTCTTCCGATTTTTATAAAAAAGTAATGTGCATGTGGGTATCAATGAGTTATAAAGGAATCCCTCCACGCATGTGGCCGGTGTGCGGCTAAAAATAAATGGCCATTTCTAGGTTCTGACACCACCTCTTTTACATAAATAAACGCGTACATTGGCGAGATGTCTATAAAAGTACACAATTTTGGTATTAAACTGATCAAAATTAAATGCGGTATTCAACGATTCCCTCAAATTTTACAATCGGCGAAAGTGGATCACCCTATCCTTTGACAAGTAACCTTGACTTTTGTCTCAATTGAAAAGTTTAGTTTCATTCAAAAAATCAATAAAACACCAACTTCAATTAACTTAACGACAGTCAAATGTGGCAGATAGACCTTCAATCAACTGAAATTAAAAAATACAAACAAATGGAACTGGGAATTAACATCATACAATTTAATATAAAAAACGGCAAGATGTCTAGTATTTTGTTTATAGTGAGGCTTTAAACAAAGCAACCAAATGTCTCCCAGTGAGGCAAAGGGAACTATAAAATTATATTTTCTTGTTCAAAATGGTCACTTTCTCTATACTCAGTCTAATTGTACGGCATTTTCCCAATTATTTTAATGGAAAACCAAAAATGTAAGCTATTTCATCGCAATACCTGTTGCATCGCCATACATGTTGTACCAGAAGACGAACTTCAAGGCATCAGTAACCGGTGGAGTCACCACAGGGCTGAGTAAGATGGCCGTGGTTGCTACGGTTGCCTCCAAATACAAGTAGGATCCCTCAATTGCTGCAACAGATAGAACGAAAGTGGGAACAAGTGCATTAAAACAATGAAGCTTTTCGTTCTGAGTAATAACGAAACCATGTTTACAATTTAAGACCATCACACAAGAGAAGTTTGAACAACTTCATAAACGCCAATGTTGTGCATCAGTATGGCACGAACGTAGTGATCCCATTGCCAATGGGTGTTACTGTCGACATATGCGTGAATCCCGGGGAATTGGGAGATGGACGGGTATCTCCCGACTTTTTGACCAGGGAAACGAAGGGCTATGGGCCTTATTCACAAGATTGCCATTTTGTCGAGTTCCCTGAAGTATTTTATTTATTGTTTACTGTTGAATGGGATGGCGCCAGACTATTTTTGCTGGCACAATAAAGCCTTGTTTTACTGTCTTTTTTTTTTAAATGCGGCTTTAAACATTAAGGAAATGTTTAATAACACATTTTAAATTATGCATTAAAGCAGACTGGAATCTATTATGAATTAAGTTGCTTTCATTTCTCTTCGCAAGTTCATTTTTTTTTTTTTTTTACCTAACTTTCAATTCAATATGGCTGACTCGTGAATAAGGCCCTTTGGATCCTCCTCTCACATGACAGTAGTGAAAACAAAACAATGCCGATCTTGTGGTAATCTTCTAACTTTCCTAATAGTCAGAATGTTATGTATTTAATTAGTTCTCTGGGGAAGAAAACACGACAATGAACATCTCCTTCAACGGCCACAGGCTCAACTTCGACCCGACCCCAAAGTACCTCGGTGTAACTTTGGACCGTAGCCTAACCTTCTCCCATCATGTCAAAGCTGTGGTGTCCAAGACTGAAGCCCATGTCAGCCCGGTGAACAGACTAGCTGGCAGTGGTCGGGCTGCATCCTCCAACACAATGCGTACCTCGAGCTATAGCTCTGGCATGCTTAACTGCAGAATATGCTGCACCTGCCCGGAGTCTCAGGAAACACACCAAGAACATTAATGTTGTCCTCGAGGACTCAACTCTACCATGAGACTTATCAGTGGCTCACTAACAGCGACCGCTCTTGACAACCTGTTAATCCTGTCAGGCATAGCAACTGCAGGACTGCGCTGAGACTTCACGAACCTGAAGTTACCCTGCAAAGTTGGTGATCACTAGTCTTATCTCACCTCTACCAATCCGCAAGGCAAGATGATCTCCCGTAGGCACTTTGCAACCGACGTGTCGACGCTATTAGCCCACCACCCTTACCAGCTTTCCTGGTTAAGGGAAAGATGGGCCGAACAGTGAATCACTCTTCAGTAGATTACATCGACATCGTCGCTACGACAGTACATCGACGGCCCTTCAAACAAGCCACCTGGTTGTGACCTCCCCCGCAATTCATGGGTTAATCTCAACAGAATACGCTCAGTTGTCGGCCGTGCCAAGCGTTTCCTGTACAACATAGGAGCGAGCCATGCGACACCTTTGAATGCAACGAAGCTATTCAATTTGTTGTAACTTAAATTAAATGAACTTATTAATTAATTAACCAATTAAGTGGCGTAACTACTCGACAAGCTTTGCTTTTTAGAGATCCCCATCCACATTATTGTGATCTTATGATTTTCTTTGAATATTTTTGTGTATTGTCATGTCATGCGGTAAATAAAGTAAAATTGATTGATGAATCTGCGGCCTGACTACGGCGATGATTCAAACACATGTACTTAGGTAAATTGTTTAACATTATGCCGATAGTAAAGAACCTACTCCCAGTGGTATGATCGAAATCGGGTCCGGTATTGGCTGTGTCAGTAGCTCCACGCTGTAATTGCCAGTGTTTGTCATCTTCGTCAGACCTCACCCATCCACACAACGATCCTTCTTCAAAAGTGCAGTTGAAGTTTGTATCCTCTGTGAATAAATTAACAAAATGTTATCATGAGACTCGCACTCGCACTCACCATCGGTCTTCTTGAGAGGTCAAAGAAAGGGATTTTTTCACTCTTGACTTTTAATTTACAGTGTGTGCGCGATAATTCCATTCTTTATCAGATATTTATAACCGAGTAATGAAGATTAAAGGGCCATTACGGCCTGAAATCCCCCCCCCAAAAAAAAGTCATGTTTTTGAATGTTTACTTATCCTATTTTAAAGATCTGGTTGAAAGGAAACTAACATAATGTCTTACCGTTCCCTAGACAAATCTAAAACAAAAACCGGTTGTTTACATCGGACGCGGTAGACAGGTATTGACATACACATACGTTTTTCAAGTCGTATCTATTCATTGTATCGTACACGTAATCTATCTCAATCCTTTGTCCAAACAGTGGCTTTATAATCCCTAACACTTTGTGTAATAAAGCCACATGTGCTGTCACACAGCTGATATTGACAAATGCAGGGGATTAGCAGCAGTATCTGATAACAGGGGCCAGTTTGTTGACAATGGGATTTACAAGATAAGAGTGTACCGCAAGAATATTCTTTCCGATTTTACAGGTCCTTACTCGGAAAGCTGCTTGAATCACTTACAACTGATGAATATCAAATACACACAACAGCAGTACACAAAATGTACAGTAATGCACCGAAACAAGATAAAAAAAAAGGAAATACTCCGACATCAGACAGTATTGCTTATTGAATTATATAAAAGTAAACGAAATGTATCAAAACAACATCTTTCACACCCATTAAAGTGTCTCGTGAAAAATTTAACATCAAATTATACTTACTTTCACACAAACCCCTCTGTAAAGATACATCATCGAATGCTATGTCTCCATTGCGAGTTCCCAATGGTACACCTCGGAAGTAAAACCTGATATTCGAGTTGACATCTCTGATGTCGACCAGCCCATGAAGCCATCCCCTCCTTCCTGTCTGCGGCCCACTCGCGCTGAAAACCTTGACGCTGCCGCTAGTATTGCTAGAGCTGCCAGTGGCGTTATAAGAATACACCTCCAGCGTGCCTTAAAAAAAAACGGTGGTCAAACTGATTCATTCTCATTCAGTCATCATTGTTATATTGAAATAAGTTTTTCCTAGTTATTTAAAAACGTGCTTCATTCACACTCCATGGAAAGACACTTTAATTTCGATCCAGATTCCATTGCCAATTTCGATTTTGTATTTAACACCTATACCTAGTTCATATTAGGTCTTATTCTTGACCGATTAAGGGTGCTGTATGTAACGACCCCATTGCTCGGGTACAAACACTGGAAACATCCTGTTCATTACAGAGGTTAAGCACTTTCTGGGAGGTATTAAACACTCCTTTTTAAGACCGGTCGGGTTCTGGATGCTAATAATTACCTGAGCACAGTGTAATTATCATCATCTAGAATCCAACTGGTTTTTAATACCGACCAAGCACGTATCTATTCCCGTTCACAAAAAACGTTTCGGTCAAACATTGCAATGGTGAAGTGCCACATTTTAAGAATTAAGATCGTCTCATCTGGAGACTTGCATCGAATTGTAAATTTGAAGAAAAAAAATCACCGAAGGCGTGTCTCCTCCCCCCCCAACCCGCTCAGAAATTTGCGAAGGCGAAAATCACACTACAACAAAAAGAAAAAAGAAAAGCTGTAGATCTATTATCTGAAAAGATGACACATCAGGCCGCCTTTTATAAATAAGTCCCCTATAAGTGTCAAATTGAAACCCAGTTTATAATAACCGTGCAACGTGTGTTCAGGTGATATTCATTAAATTGTAATAAATTGTAATAAATGAATGGTATCAGGGTACCTATATATCGTCCATTCATGTTGTACCAGAAACTAAAGCAAAGGTCCAGGCCATTCTCCCCGTTTACTTCCACCACAGGACTTTCAAATATGGGCGTGTACATGAACTGACTGGGAGAGAAGTACATGTACCTTCCGGTGTTATCTGTAGCAAGAAGAAAGCAAAACACTTATTTAAAGGAAACATGCAGTGGAAATTCAGCTCATCTTGTTTTCATGCATATTACTATGTGTTGCAACGAGATCAATACTTGTTTTCATTGGAAGTGACAAGAAAGTGGTCATTTTTCATTTATTAGCAAATCCTTTCATCAATGCATGCAAGAGGGCGCTATTTTGTTTTTGTCACACACAAGGTCTATCCTTGTCAAAATTGTATATGAACAGTACAACAATTAGTCCTTCCATTACCCACAAAAAAAGAGGTTTGAAGAAATTTTGGCCACTTCTTTTGTCCAAACGAGCTGTTTATCATGATAAACAAATTAATAGTGGAACTTACTCAAAGAAAAAGAGAAAACGTTTGTTATATAATTGTAAGGCTATGCATGGGACACTATTGTGCTGCCTTGAATGACATCACGCTTTTGTTTATGAATATGGCCTCATGGCTATTTTGGGTCGGAAGGATACCATGAATGAATGGACTGTTTGTGAACAGTTTGTGACTTTTGTGGTGGGAGATTTTCGATCGAGGAGCGCGCAATCATTCTTAACCTCCGGACAGTCGGAAAGTTAACTTAATAGGATTTTACACAGCCTTGTGCCTCTCATTCGCGTATCAAATATACAACAACGTCTGGACCCAAGACTAGTTGTGGGGTCCTATAATGAAATAGTTAACACATACCTCCTAAAGTGTGATCGAAATCAGGCCCAGTCGAGGTTATCTTTGTGCTGGCCCTGTCCATTATCCAGTTATCGCCGTCACCCTCACGCTGGGTCCAGCCGCAATACCCGTCCTCAAAGGTACAGTTGAATGCTTGGTTGCCTTTTAGACAATGGAAAGGTAATAAAGTATATTGTTATACCTCTGTCTTGAATTCTGTATTTTCATTGGCCTAGACCGATCACGTGGTAAGTTTATAAACAGTTATGGCACACTCCCTGATATCATTATCCCACATGGAGTGGGCTAATGACTTCGTCCCTACAGTACGGTGTGAAACGCTGATTTCGCTGGTACCCACGCTATTTTCACCATGTTTTCACACATGAGTGGGAGCAGCAAACCAGCAGACGATCGGCTGTTTCGAGCACGCGACATGCATGTGAGTTGGCGTTTGATTGTTGTGTTTACTGCTGTTGAATTCCTGATTTATACATCAAAATCCAAAGAATCAAAGACAGAGGTATAACGAAACAATTGTTGACCGCTGTGATGTGGAATATGACGTTTTAAGCACCCTCGGGGTGCTATGCGCCCCTCGGTTGTTCAAAACGTCATATCCAACATCACAGCAGTCAACAATTGTTAATTTGTGCCTCAGTGCTTCACTACATACTAGTGCTCAAGGCGCTGTATTTAATATACACCTGCTAATTGGTCAGATAAAACATACAAAAGACAATCTCGGTCACGAGGGAATACAGTATACAGCTTGAGGCCATATCGGCGTAAAGTAGCTGCAAAAAAACAATCGCAATAGCCACCTCGGCCCGCAAAGGTAACCATTTACTCTGGCGGGGGTAAAGCTAGTCTTGGCCCAAGACGCTAGTGATCGATAGTGAATGGTTTATAGTTCAAATATTATAGTTGGAAAATAGTTCAAACGGAAGTAAACATACAGGCTTTATACATGTACGCACGGTGACGGTGACCCAGCATCATATCGCTTTCCTACGGAACCAATCAGCGAACGGGAAATGACCACGCCCACATTGTTACGAAATGACCAAGGCGTTAGTAAGAGAACGTACAAAAAAATCAATCATGAAAGGGCGCTACAGAACATTGCAACTATCGCTCTTGATCACTGACGTCTTGGGCCAAGACTAGGGTAAAGCCAGTGGCGTATCCTGAATATCGGGTAACTGTGTTACACGGGTTCGTTTTCACAGTGCTCCGTTTGTTAAAAGGGAACAAGTGAGGGCGCCCTAACTACTATTATATTATAACCTACAGACATCTTGCCGTTGATACTGCAGCGGAGGTACATCCGATGAATCGCTAGAAAAGTATGTATTTTAACCTCTCTTAGTAAATTGTTGAACCAATTTTTTTTTTGTGGCTCTAACCTCTAAAGGTGGATAACTTTAACTTGTTTATTTAATATTGTAGAGACATCTGTCTAAAACATCCTGAGGCCATGGCGTGGAGTTCTGACTAGGGTATAAGGTTCATGTTTTTTTGTGTACAAAATACCATGTGGGGCAAAACATGACTTCTTTTGCATAGTTGGCATTTTCTCGGCAACCCAAAGTGCTATTTTCGTGATTTTTACTGTATTTTAAAGAAAAAGCTCTTAGCTATAATCTGATACCCAAAACCTTAAAATCCACTAATTTCTTTTTTAACCCTGCGCAGAGTGACTTTCTACCCTTTGGGCCCCAGGTAACCGATTTTTTTGGGAAAAAAAAAATGAGGGCCAATAACGTTCATCTCCTATCTAATCCTCATTCAACCCTTGCCAAATCAGCTGGTTTAATGAACTTTGCAGCCAGGGCTACACCCAGGCCATGTCAACAAACTTTCGACCAGGCCTCCTGCCAAGTCTCAATGAAAATCAACAAAGACCTGTAACTTGACACAGTCATCTCCCTTCATAACTGCATACCACAGCCGCCAGTCAATTATCTTTCTAGCGCACAGTCTGGCAACTGTCTGGACACTGTCTGGCACTTGGCTTTTTGTTGTATTGCTATGAATAGGGTCTTGCGTACTAGTGCGGGAAAGTACCTGCTGCCCAGAGGGCAGCAGTTGACGAGTTGTTGTAAAGTTTGTTTTTTTGTAAACGCTGCGCAGGGTTAAAGGCAACTGTTTTATCGTTGTATTTTTTGGGATCACCCTGTACATATAAAGTTGACTAATATAAGGGGTGATAATAACGCTGCCTACAGATGTCCTCGTTTTATTTTATATTTTAATTTGATTAAACTTACCTTGTGGACATAGACCCGGGATAATGCTTACATCGTCGATTCCTATTTCCGAAGAAGAAATTCCACCAACACGACCGACAAGTCCAACATGGAAGTCTTCGGTTTGGTTGACGATATCAACCATTGCTTGCAGCCAAACGTCCTGACTAGTTTGCTCTTTATATATGCGATAGATGAATGTACCCAGAGGCTCGGTCAGGTTTGTTGTCACAACCACCTCCAATTCCTCTGAAAAGGAAAGCAGGATTTCGAGATAATAATGCTAAAGTTCAACACAAGATGACGATGTACTTGAGTATTTTTGGGTGTAGTATATCTCACTTGATTAATAACAACTGCTACTTCATATTTGTTTGGCCCAGTTGCGGTGACGGAGTGATTAGTTGTATCTGTTGTGTGCTTTCTACAAACAAGGGGGTTGTTAATGTAAACAAAATCTTTACATTGCTACGGCTGGTCTGCACATGCTATTCACATGGTTGCATGACGAACTTGTAAAATATAAATGCTTTGACCCCCAAATATCAGAATAATAACAAAAACAAACAGGCAAAACCAACTGTTTAATAGTACTGTTTTGCAGCGAGGAATACAATGAACATATGGATACCTGCGATACATCTTCAAATCGTACAACTAAATGCGAAACCAAGTTCTTTCCAAGCCCTGATGTCGCAAATGGGATATATTTGTTCAACGATTTGATCTCATTCTCAACTCGAACTAATGTCAAAACGCTCAACAAGATTTCTTGTGGAAATAGTCCTGGTCCCTACTTCGTGGCTCTGCAGTACCGTTGTCGAACAATCCCTGCTTACTGTAGCAGAACATTCCGTGCTAATGGTAAGCGTATTTTACCGATTAGCAAGAACTGTTGGCTTGTGCGCATGCGTACAACCTGTAACTAAAAATTCAGCGCTCACATGGTTAGCACTGATTTTTTTTTTTGCTAGCGCCGTTAGCACAGAATGCAGATCGTAAGCGCGATGTTATGTGGTTAGCAAAGCCATGACATATGGCCCCGGTTGGGCTGGTTAACACGACAAGTCCAACGAGCTTCGAATGAAACCAGTCGAAATATTGTTAGCCATTACTCTCGCGCTGTCGCGCGGGCCTGCTCGTTGGTCAAACTAAACGTGGGTTTCATCCATTCTGATATTCATTCATTACCTATATTTATCCCAAACATGTTGTACCAAAAGCTGAAGCACAATGATCCGTCTTGGCTGTCAGATGAGTTGACAAGAGGACTGAGAAGCACAGCATATTGAGAAGTGAAGAGTCCTGTCGCCTGGAAAAAGTAGTAACGGCCATTTCCATCTATAAGAAGAACATGTCTTAAATGAATGTAGAAAATAGGCACATTGTAATTCCAAGTACAATTCACTCAACACAGTGGATCGAATTGTTACTCGAGTTTCCACTGGACTTTTCTCTTCTTGTTTAGGGGTTTTGATTTTAAATTAGAGTAATCTTCTCTTCGAAGAGGCACGTGTGGCCTTGCTGTGGAGCATTGGATTCATGATCATGAGATTTTGGGTTCGAGCCCCACCGTGGCCATGCATTTTGTGCCCTTGAGTGAGGCGCATTACCTCAATTACTCCTCTCAACCCAGGTGTTAAATGGGTACCGGCATTATTCAATGCTGGGACGGTAACAGACTCGCTGTGGAGGAGGTTTGGCGATCCCCCACAACAGCATTTCATGGGCTCGAGTCTGGCCCCAGCGCTTCGAGAGAAAGAGATGGGCAGTCAGCCCCCCCCCCCCTTCTCTCAAAACCGTCTGGAATATAGTCTCATAACTTAGAAGTACATAGCCTCATTTTATCAAAATCTTGGCTAGGGCAATTGGGCCGATCGAGTAATTTGTCTTCTCACCTCCTCTGGTGTGGTCAATAACTGGTCCAAGGTCAGTGGACGGGGTCCGTCCTTGCTCCAAAAGCCAATTGAAATCATCAAACTCCGACTGGATCCACCCACAGGAGCCTTCTTCAAATGTGCAGTTGAAACTCAAGTCCGGAACTAAAAATGAAATGTCGGACGAATTTTTAATTCGGTAACTTTTGCTTAGGCATATCTGATAGTAAAATAGCTAATATTTGTTTTGATATAGTACTTGGGTGAAGAGTTGCAAGGAACTGAAGCTCATTTGTGTTTGACTTGACTTGAGACAGACTTTTGAGGACCTGTGGTTGACTAGGCAAACACACTGCAAAAACTGCAGTGTTAAATTTACACCATTGGTATCTATATAGGACCATCTGGTGTTAAATTTTACTGGTGTTGTCCTATATAGACACCGAATGGTGTTAAATTAACACTACAGTTTTTGCAGTGCAAGATTATCACTTGACCCCTTTCCTTACATTTCATACTTGATGCCTGAACAAAATGTGTTATCACAATACAGGGTTACCAAATTTAATAAAATGCAACTCAAAAACACGTGCCTTAAAAAAGGGGTCCGTGGATTGTTATGTTTTGGAATCAGGTTAAAGCTGAGAACTTGTTCTATTACAAACTGAAATAATCATGAAAATAGCACTTGGGTTGCTGAGAAAATGCCAATAATGCACAAGTACTCATCAACACAACTATCCTTTAGAAACTTGGCGTTTTTGTAGTATTCTTGTGATATTCGTGCGAGAACGACTTTCGGGGTCCACTTTTGCGACCCAAAAAGTGGGGCTGTTCGTGCTCGTTGTGAATCCAGCCGTATGGGTTCGCCCTTTGCGGAAATCTCATTTTGTGCATTGGTGATAGGTCACCGCTCTTGTGTAATACTAGACACACACAACGTGTTGGGTACATAGAAAGACAGCGACCACGAAACACGTATCATACTCCGTCGTGTCCGATGTTCATTTGCCCTCGACGAGCGTTCAATCCATAGATATAGAATAAAAAGACTAGTGGAGTGCTGTGGCTTCGTGGTTAAGGACACTGATTTGTGGTCTGTGGGTAAAGCTGCAGGTTGTGGGTTCGAGTCCTGGCGGGGTCATGCATGGACTTTGTCACTCATTGCTTCTGTCCACCCAGGAGTAAATGGGTACCTGTGAGGGTAGAGATGGTTATTGTGATTGAATTAGCTTCCTAACAGGCTGCATCGAGCTGTTTACTCCCAGGGAGCTGAGATGGTATTTGGATTGTCTCATGGGCCTAATGAGCAGGGGTAATACCTGGTGGATACGTGCGCTTTATAAATACCCACTATTATTATTATTATTATTATTATTATGTAAACAATCGTGTGGGTTTTTTTTTTCGTCTTTTCTCGGGAACGTAAGACATTACGTTGGTTTCCCTTCAACCAGATGTTAGAAATAGATTAAGTAAACAATCCAAAACATGACATTTTGGGGGATTTCAGAACGCAGTGCCCCTTTAACGCGCGAGCGTCGTGTGACCGTCTACTTGCGCGTTCATTTGACCTCAATGAGCGTTCAATCCATAGATATAGAATGAAAAGACTAGATTGGCAACGCGTGCATACGCGCCATAGAGTGTACACACCGTAGATATAGAATATAAAGACTAAATCGGCAGCGCGTCCACACGCGCCCATCCACTTGTCCCTCGTGGACGCGCAACAAATTAACGTAAAGTAAGGGAGCTAAATGTATCTTTCCTCCAGCACGTGACCAAGCTCAACGCGCGCGAAGCCAGAAATGCGCACCGAGTATTTACGCGATGCGCCCACGCGTTAGCAATAATGGTGCACTGTGCGCGTGAACGGCGTTGCGTTCGTCACGTTTAGCGCGCATTATCTGTATTTTTCCTCCAGCACGTGACCCTCCATGCAAGTCCGCGCGCCTGGACGCGCTGCCGATCTAGTCTTGTTATTCTATATCTATGGTACACACACATTTCCCATAGATATGGAATAAAAAGACTAGATCGGCGCAACTTTTTTCCCGTAGGTTTGTATGGAAAGACATATTCTTATGTCCGCAAAAGTAATATTTTTGACCCGTAGTAGTAGTATTTTTTTCAACAAAATTCAAAATGGGTTATCAAGCTGCATGTTCATTTCGAAGTTTGGTCTATTTTATTTCTCGTATTTATTTCCCGTTTTAAAATGCTGGTGCGCGTTGCTTAAACAAAATTGCATCCATCTGTCTGAGTATTAGTTTCTTCATCAACAAACAGAACAATGATCATTTTGAACGTCTTATTTCCGTAGTTGTTGCGCTGTCCTTTAATTTAAATTCACGGCAGCTTCACGGGACAACACTCAGACATTTTTTTTCTCCATTGTCCCTCCTCAGGGTATGGCATACGCCGTAATCAGATGCAGATGCCCTCCCCAACCCTTTATAACTTAATAAAAAAAAATTGAACAAATAAATTTGTGTTGTTTCGCTCTGGACCTCTAGTGGCGTATCCAGCATCTGAAAATCTTCAAGAAGGCGCAAGAATCTCACAATGTTATACAAAATGGGTACTAAAAGTAGAGCACAATGTAAATAAACTTGAGGGGTTAATTAGGTTATTCAGAAGTCCGGAACATTACGGTAGTGTAATTTAATTTCATTCTTAAAACGGTTTTCAGGGACAATATTATTGTCATTAAAAGTTAGACATATATAATGCAATCCAAGTAAATTGTTCTCATCCCAAAAAGATAAAAATTGTAACACAAATCTCTAAAATCATCCATTTAAACATGTCACAATTTTCTTAAATATTTCATCGGTAATTTAAAACAGTTTTTACATTCTACGTTTTCCTTTTTATAAATAATGTCTTATACACATTTAATCAGATAAGCTGACATTTTATTTGGAGATTTCTAGCAACGCGCACCACCATTTTGAAACGAAAAATAAATACGAAGGGAAAATGGAGCAAACTTCGAGGTGACTATCCAGCTTGAAAATGCATATTGAATTTTGTTGGATACATAACTACTACTGGTCAAAAATGTAACTTTTCCGGACATAAAAATGCAAGTTTGTGCACAAACCTACGGGAATGTAGATGCGCGTAACGCATGTTTTGCCCCACGCACTACTGCGCGTAGAGCGTCCATGCGGGAACCGGAACATTTGTGCACACTCTATGGCGCGTATGCACGCGCTGCTGATCTAGTTTTTTTATTCTATGAAATTTCCCCGTTCTGTCATGGACGCTCTACGTACAGTAGTGCATTGGGCAAAACGGGAGTAATGGGCACCTACATTCCCGTAGGTTTGTGTACAAACGAGTATTTTATGTCAGAAAAAGCAACTTTTGTGACCAGTGGTAATTATGTCTCCGACAAAATTCAAAATGCATTTTCAAGCTGGATAGTCACCTCGAAGTTTGCTCCATTTTCCCTCGTATTTATTTTTCGCTTTAAAATGGCGGTGCGCGTTGTTTAAAATAACCAAATAAATGTCTTGCTATCTGATAAATTAAATATAAAAACATAGTTTTAAACAATAAAGAAGAAAACGTTGAATGTAAAAACTGCTTTACATTATCGTTGAATTATTTCAAATTAAAATTGTGAAATGTTTCAGAAAAATGTACTTGGATTACATTTCAAATGAATGACTGTAAATGACAATAACATTGCCCCTGAAAACTTCAAGATGCGTTTTGAGAATGAAATTAAGTAACACTCCCATAATGTTCCTTCTGCATTGGCGGGATGGGATCAAACCTTTTGGGAGTATGGGTTGAGGGGAACGGATGATGGGCGTGTTTGTTGGTTGCACAAATATAAATTATGGACGCTATACCTTTACTGGGTATTTGACGTGAAGTGGCTATTTTAAATGCCTACCTGGACAATGGGAAGGAACAACCGTTAGGTCATCGACTGCAGTGGCATATCTTCCAGTATTGCCTTCGACGAATTCCAGGGCGATTTCAAAATTCTCTTGGGCTATATAATCAATGTTGACCTGAAGCCAAACTCTTAAACCGGTCTGAGGGCCAGTCAGTTGGTACACAGGCTGCTTTAAACTCAAGTCGTCACCGTCGGTTACTGGATACATGTACACGTTTAGATCCCCTGGACAAATTAAATGGAAACAAAGAAACGAGAAAAAGCACTCAGAGAGCGCACACCTTCGCCAAGGCTAAACAATATCACGCCATTACACACAACATCAATGCACAAATATCGTTTCTAAAACAAATCCTTAACATTTTGTACTTTAATATAAAATGGTCTAGTCCATTGATCTGTGTGGTTAGATTAGGTGGGTGATAAGCATACAGGGTCACCCGGTCGCGATTTTTTCCCCAAACGACATAAGCAAATGGGTGTACGCTATGAGGTTTTGGACTTTGCTTCCCTAAAAACATGAAAAAAATATATATAACAGAAACAAAGAAGAACTGATTCAAACCGAATGAAATTCGGACTTTTTTCCCTTAAAAAAATCATCCGTGCGATACAGTATAATACCATACTGTTGTTGGCATGGATCGACCAATCAGGATCGAGGATAAAAGTTTGCTTGTTCCAAAATAGTTGTTAAGTTTGTTTGTGTTATTTATTATTATTCTTATTTTTTTTTATGATTATTACTATAGGTTTTCCCGGCCAATTTCACCAAGTTTTCATTTAATTTAACGCCTGGCTCATTCCATTTAGATTGAAATTGAAAGATCACGCAGATCGGCATTCGACAATCAAAAAGAATCATTCAATTTCCCTATCCGAGCATTATATCGCCTTTTATCTTCACTCATCCCTATCAAAGATGCATTCATATTAAAAGTTTTGCGTTGTTCATTCAAATTCGTTTAAACCATTAGTAAGGGGTTGATCGGGCATTTGTTTTCATTAATGGGCAAACATATTTCACATTTTGTCAAACATCTTTTAAGACTTCATACGTGTCCTTAGCGTAAATCATATGTGATGACTTCAATCCGTAGATGCCTTTCTTTCTCAATTGAAGGGTATGTGCAATGACTTTGTCTCAGGAATTCTTATTGTGCAACTCTTTACTACTGTGAAATGTAAGAAAATACACATTTGACAATTTTTTTGGGTTAATCTTGCTGGAAAAGTGCACTTCTTTAAACTTTTTTCCATGCTTTTCCGTACCACGTATGAGCGCTGTCACTGTGATGTCATTTCAGGAAGACACTGTTCAGTTTAGGAAGTTTTCTTTCAAATTATTCATCCAAAATTTGCTAATTGAAAACATTTGTGGGAAAGGGTTGGTCATTGGCTTACTGCCATGTACTGACACATCATATAATCACCAAATAAAAGAAATTTATGACAGCAAAATATCCAACATTCTAGCAACTTTTTTTGCTGAAATAGTCGTGTAACATTAATCATGCCCGGAATGCCATCACAGGTTTTCTAATGAATGTGAAACTTTGCATTAGCATAAAAACGGAGAAGACACCAAAAACACCCCTCAAAGTGGAAAATAAAACTTGCAAACAAGGTTAAATGTGACACAAAGATGTATTTTCAAGGTTTGCATTGAAAACTGACTTTGCATGGGCCCTGTGATTACGGTAAGTGTTCGGCCAGATATACGCAAGAAAAAAAAAGAAATAACGCAAGAGAAGTGTTCCTGATGGTACAACCATTGCCAAACATTACGTGTCGCCATATCTTGCACGTCAAGAAATCGTCAAAAGATGCCCCTTGCTCAAACGTTTAAACAAGTCAGAAAAGATCAACAGTGAAAAAAATATATATCTTAGTCCCTTTTAATTAATTAATTCGTAATTACATCTTGTTTCCCTCATATCAGTTAATATGTAACATTGGAAATTTTACAGTCATCGAGATTTTTTTGGGAAAATGAACCTCGGAGAAAAATACGAAAATATATCGATTAAAAAATCTTACTAATTGAATTGACCAAACGATGAAAGCGATTGCCCATTAACGAATAAGAAACGAAAAGCATGGTTATACGTTACAAACACACAGATGTTCGCTAATTTGAATGTGTCAACCGTCAAAAGGTTGCAAAGACTTAATTTAAGACTGCTACAAGTTTAGTCTTGAATGCACTAAAACGAAATAGGCTGCCCGAAAATGAATACGAACTTTCAGAGCAAAATCTTGGCTGCCTAAAAATGAAATTGAATGAACCCAAAATGATAAAGAAACCCCAATTTGACCACATATGCAAAACTCACGCGAAATTCAATGGCTGATAATGAAACTGATTAGAAAACTTCGGAAATTCGCCGGGAAAACCTATATTAAAATTAAATTTAGAATTGCTGTAATAGGGTGACAGATTTCTCAAGTGTCTAATTATTAGTAGACATACCGAAATTCGTAGAAAAAGGACAAGGGAATATTGGATTAGGGCACATTGAAGTTTGAAAAAAAATTGTGCACAAGTCCATGGGGATTTTTCCCAAATGACACATTTCCGGTAATTAGCATATATCTCGCAATAGGGCGACAAGTTGTGCGGGACTCCAACATTAGGGCGACACACAGCAAAAGGGTGACAATTTTGGTGTCGCCCTATTGAGGTTACTACCCTTTAGCGAAGTAATTGTCGCTTACGAGATCGATTACTCGTGGTCCAAAACGTACATATACCAAACTTGGTTGGGATCGGATAAGCTAAAGTTGGGTTTATGTCACATTAAAGTTTGAACATTTTTGTGCACGTTTCTATGGAAGTGTCGCCCTCTCATGCAATCCAGAGTTATTATAATTATTATCATTATTATACGTGGAAAGGTACCACTAAGGAGACACGTTATCGTAATTTCTTCGCACGATGGGAGACATCGGTCATTAGAGAGACATTGTCGTGTCTCCCTAATGTCACAGCCCCCTTTTGAAGGCAATTTTGTTGTCACAATTATGTTATATTTGTTGCTCGTAGTCTAATTAGTAAACATACCGAAATTCGTGGGAAAAGGACAAGGGAATATTGGGTTAGGGCACATTTAAGTTTGAAAAATGTTGTGCACAAGTCTGTGGGGATGTCTCCCAAATGTCCAATCCAGGGTAAATAATAAAAGTAATAATAATATAATTTTTTTTTGGGGGGGGGGGGGTTGTAACTTCCACATTCTTCAAAATATTTCTTTTGTCGGAAGGGTAGGGTAGTTCTATGTACTAGCACGATGGAGTGCGTGCATGAGTGTTAACTCGTTCACTAACACATCCAACTAGTGATAATGATTAATAAGCAAATACAAGAAACACATTAAATAACTTACCTACGATGTTACCACCTTCAGAATACCTGTTGTACCAAAAGCTAAAGCAAGTACTTCCAGATAACGGTGGGCTCGTAAGTGTTGCTTTAGACATAACGCTGTTGTCACCATCAGGTCGCAGAAAAATATACCAACCTTCGTCTCCTACAAATTTAATTCGCCAAAAATATCCAAATTCCTTGGTGATACGAAAATAAGGTAAAATTCAAATGGAAGATTTGGTACCAATGGACAGGACATATTACTACTGGACAAATGTGTGTCAAAATCAGGCTGAATTCGGGCGATTCATAATGCAGTGCGCCACCAAGAGTTTGTAATGGAGAGTTCATTTTTCCCCATTGCATTCTGTCAGATGGTCGGCAAATTCGCAGCGCGGATATTGGCAATTGTTAGTGTTTTTCCTGTCAGTAGTTTCGTAAGCGTATCGAGTATGCGTTTGCCCTTTTCTTTTCATCAATTTGATTTTTTTGTAAGACGGCACAACGCTTTGTCCCAATCTATAACGTATTAGCTCAAGTTTCTTTACTGGCACTAATTCAAATGGGCCATGTTTTATCGAACGTAAACTTTAAAAAAAAAATGTACTCTCAATGGCAAACTTTGGGTGGCGCCCTACATTGTGAATCCCCGAATTGGGCAGAGGTGGGAAATGAAGAAACATCTGCAAAATGACATGGGTTGATTTTTGAAATTTGTAAAGCTACTAATATTCAAACATTAGTAATATTGATGTTATATAATGACACCTTAAAGTTGCGGAAATGCCAACAAGAAACAATAACTAAAGAAAAAACAAAGGCTTTTCAGCAGCTATGCGGAAAAGCCTCCCCCCCGAAAAAAAAAACAACAACAAAAACCCAGAACACAATCAATGGCTTTTCCGCAACTATACAGAAAGCCAGCAAATGCATTCAAGCAGAATGCGCAGTCTGCTGTTATTATTACAGTCTCTTAAATACAATCACGTCACATTAGACTAGGAAACAATCAAATCTCCACTGGTACACCGAGTAGAAGCGAGGTGAACGAAACTGTTACTGAAGTCGAGACGCTGCAAACATTTTAATTAGTTGGAGCCATTTGGCTCCAAGGTATACCGTTTCAGTAAATCTGTCTCGTGCTCACTCTAAACCAGTCACAGTCGAAAGTGACAAGGGTCATACTGCATCAGAATATGAGACACGACTTTGCTATAGGGTCTATGTCTATGTAAAGTTTCATTGGTATATGACTAACTTCAATGCCCAAAATGGGAGCAAAAACGACGTGCAGACTATGGGGTTTGGGCATAGAGCTAAATTAAATTACTAGAGCGCTAATTCCTCATTCTGCGCACGGAGACGCTTTGAAGCCGTCCTGGGTGCAGACATTTGGAATTCATGTGCGTGTTTGTAGAACATAATGAAATTAGATGGATTGAAATTTGAAAGTGTACTCTTCATGCAACGCGCAAGTAGAACATACGCAAACAACTTAAAGATATAGTCCACCATTTGTAATTTGTGCATTTTGTTTGAAGCAATAAAAAGTGTTCAAAATCTAATAAAGGATACTGAACAACTAACCTGATGAAGTTTCAGCTCAGCTTCAGCTGTATATTCCGAGAAAAACAGCATTCTAGGATCTCAATTTCAAATCAAAAGTTGCAGAATTATGTTTTGAATTGCAGCTTTACGCGAGGTCGCGCACTGATCCGACGAATTATAGCAACCGCGCGCGTCTGTGCGTCGTGCCAATGCTTGCGCGTGCTGCGCCGAATAACAAAACGAACTACTGATTTAAATTTTTCTACGGTGCGTCTTTAGACGCACCGTTGGAAAGGCCGTTTTTCGTTGATTACTTCAAAATGATAGCTTGCCAGAGAGATTAATTTCACAGGGAGTTTAGTCCACTTACTATCTTTCAACCAAGTATTGTTTTCAACAATAATACGTTACTTTTTAGGATGGCTGCAAATGATGGACTATGAGCTCCGTGCGCTACCAAAAGAGGGCGCCCTTTTACCTAACAACGACGTCCCATGGGCGGGACATTTCGCTGGTTGACGCGCACCATTCCTTGTGTGTGACGCGCGTACACCCATATAGATATAGAATAAGTGCGTGGGGCAAAGCGTGCGTTACGCGCACCTACATTTCCGTAGGTTTGTGCACAAACTTATATCTTTATGTCCGTAAAAGTAACTTTTTTTTCCAGTAGTTATTGTGTATCCAACAAAATTCAATATGCATTTGCAAGTTTGCTCCATTTTCCCCTCGTATTTATTTTTCGTTTCAAAATGGTGGTGCGCGTTGCTAAAAATCTCCATATAATATCAGCTTATCTGATAAAATGTGTATAAACATTTTTTTAAATAATGAAATGGAAAAAGTAGAATGTAAAAAGTGCTTTAAATTACCGTTGAATTAGTTAAGAAAATTGTGAAATGTTTCAATGGATGATTTTAGAGATTTGTGTTAAAATTACTATCCTTTTCGGGATGAGAACATTTTACTTGGATTGCATTGTACATGTGTGACTTTTAATAACAATAATATTGCCCCGGAAAACCGTTTTCAGAATGAAATTAAATTACACTCCCGTAATGTTCCGAACGTTTGAATAACCTAATTAACTCCTCAAGTATATTTACATTGTTCTCTACGTTTAGTACCCATTTTGTTCAACATGGTGAGATTCTTGCGCCTTTTTGAAGATTTTCAGGTGCTGGAAACGCCACAAGAGGTCCAGAGCAAAATGACGCCAATTTATTTGTTCTATTTTTTTTTTATTTCAGTGAAGGGATGGGGAGGGGCGTGCATCCCCGGCCCCCAGTATCCAACAGTACAAAACTGCATCTGTTATACAGCGTATGCCATACCCTGAGGAGGGACAATGTAGAAAAAATGTTCTGGGTGTTGTCCCTTAAAAGCTGCCGTGAATTTAAATTAAAGGACAGCGCAACAACTACGGAAATAAGACGTTCAAAATGGGTTTTTTAAGCAACGCGCACCAGCATTTTAAAACGGGAAATAAATACGAGAAATAAAATGGACCAAACTTCGAAATGAACATATAATGGATTTGACTACAAAACTAGTAAACGAATGGTGAATGATTTCAATAAAATATTTCAGTTTGACTGTTACCTAATGTGGTATGATCTATCTTTGGCGCAGAGAACATGTCTAGTCCGGTCGATGGAGAAACCGGATAGACTTCCAAGCCGGCATTAGTCCAGTCGCAAGTGTCCTGCCCTTCGAAATCGCAGTTTGCTGAACAAACAGAATACAGGTTGTGTTTCACTTTAAGATTACACAGTTGTTTAGAGTATCGTTAGTAAGTCTAATAGACCTTAAAGCCCCTGTCACACTTTCGCGTATCCTAATTCTTTATGAGTTCCTTATCAAAAAAATTCAATACGCAGCCGTACGCTCAATTAACGTCGAAATTTTTGATTACTTTGACTTATATGCGACGCACATCTAGCGAACAAGTAACGAATTCAGCGCATCTATTGCGTATGAGATGCGTATGAGTTGCGTATGCAGTGCACAACATTATTTTTCGGGCTGCGAATAGGTCATTATGCATTGCGCATGCCGAGCGTATTCCGGACGCACCCGACTTATGCCGACCCCATGCTTGACGCACTTCTGAGCGTTTTCCCGCCGCATTTCCGCCGCTCGCCGTTCAGCGTGCGTTGCATCTGCGCTGCAAGTACTCTATGTATACGTCCAATACAGGCGGCTCATATGCTAACGGGGTGCGTCACGAACACATAGCGTACTCGTAACGCACTCGACCGATGCAGGACCGATGCGCTGCGTATTTATAACTTATGACCTGCGAAACAGCGTACGCAGCGTAGTTTTGTACATGCCCAAAACTATCTTGCGTACTGGGCCGTACCGTGCGTATATCTGCGTACATAAAACTTACACAAAACGATAGAGATGCATATGAGGTGCGTATTGTGCGTACCACTGCGTATGAAAAAAATGTCAATGCGCAACTCATAAGGAATTAGGATACGCAGAAGTGTGACAGAGCCCATAGGCGCACTTGTAGACTTGATGACCGGCGCGGTTGGTACAAGAAGTACGTAATCGGCCGGGTTGCAAATGAGGACTCATTCATCCCGTTATATGGGGAGTTCTTCTCAATACATAAGGGCCCTGTCACACTTCTGCGTATCCTAATTCCTTATGAGTTGCGCACCTCATATGCATCTCTATCGTTTTGGGTAAGTTTTATGTACGCAGACATACGCATGGTACGGCCCTATACGCTGAATAGTTCTGGGCATGCACAAAACTACGCTGCGTACGCTGTTACGCAGGTCATAAGTTATAAATACGCAGCGCATCGGTCCCGCATCGGTCGAGCGCGGTACGAGTACGCTATGTGTTCATGGGGGATAAGCCGTTCATACGCGGTAATACGCTGACCTCCTATATTGGACGTATACATAGCGTACTTGCAGCGCAGATACAACGCACGCTGAACGAACTCATATTGAATGCCGACGTATTGCACGAATTAGTACCGCTCGTCCTGCGAGTGGGCAGCGCATTGTACTTACGAGAAACGCACAGATAGCGAAGTTGCGCACTGCATACGCAACTCATACGCATCTCATACGCAGTGGATGCGCTGAATTCGTTACTTGTACGCTAGATGTGCGTCGCACATAAGTCAAAGTAATCAAAAAGTTTTTGATCGTACGGCTGCGTATTGAAAAATTTTGATAAGGAACTCATAAGGAATTGTGATACACAAAAGTGTGACAGTGGCTTTAGGGACATGGTCAATTGTGTATGGAAACAAAATGTATCATTGTGATAGTTGATTTATGAGAGTCGTGTGTGCCCTATAATGAATGTTGTAATGTTACACAAAACAAAGTAGACAAACCCTCCAATTAATGAGAATGATCTTCCGTGGCGATGGTGGCCTAGCTAGAATACACTCTGGAATCTGAACCAATCACAATGGAATACACTCTGGAACCTGAACCAATCAGAGTGGAATACACTCTGTAATCTGAACCAATCAGAGTGTTGGCAAGAATTCGCTAGCGATTCAAACTACTCCCATATGTTGTGCACAAAATTGAAAACGATTTCTCCAAGGCGATATTTGATCACAAATAGTCAGCATCATTTGGTCTGGGAACCAGACTACGCTATTGCAGCGATATTTTGCGTGCGTGGAGCCAGTAACCGTACGTAAATACTATTACCGACTTGGCATCAAGTCTAGCGCACTTGCCGTCGACGAATTTTATCTTTCAAAGAATCATGTAAATGTTTTCGTAATGCATAAAGGTGATGCACTGGCAATTCGATCAAAGTCACGTAGGGATCTGGGGATTTCCCAGTCAGGTAACCTTTGAACTTTATTCGCATATGACATGTTGACCCACACGTGCTGAATTACAAACCGTTTTCTCGACCACACTCACGTCGGCCGGAAGTCGCTCACATTGTATACATACATTGCACTTGCAAAGTCTGCGCGTTTTCGGAGGCAGTCCCCACGCTTGACTTCTGCAGCTCGGAAGCAAGGCCAATTGGCTGTGATGAACCCCTGTGGTACAACGCTGCTATATCTGATGTTTCTGATATATTTTGGCCAACATAACGTCAGGGTCAGTCTTAAGTAGAATGTTAATTCATATGTTTATTATATATTCTTACTTAAAATCTTGCTTTCTGCCTTATATATTATTGATATTTTCAACGCGTGAAATATACACGCTGCAGAGAACTCAAAATAGTATTGTTCTGGGTTTTTTTTTGGAAAGGTTTTTTGTTTTGTTGGTTTTTGCTAACTTGTGAGTGTAAGCCTCCCCTCATACGGGGTGTCACCGTAATAAATCGTCAACTTATTGAGAGCAAATCAAGGAGAAGCGTCCCGTCCAATGATTACCGTGTTCAGTGAGCTTCCCATTCTCCATACCTGGTGGACGGATTCCCCCCCCCCCCTCTGACTAAAACGGCAGGGCTGACCACTGCAATAACTTTGTGTCAAGCCACGGCTTAGCTTCACCCTAAACCACGTCCTAAGTCAGACCCTTAATGAGCCTCATCCCATCCATCAATTTCTAAAGGGCTTCCCTGCCTAATACTTCTTGACATATAATTTAGAACATACATTTGTTTGTGAGTTTGTTTTAGCTAGATCATAAACCTTATACGTATTGATGAATATCACTCATCAATACCTAAGACAGTTCACGCATTCCTATCGGTCAAGAGCCCGTCACGTGGCCGGTCTTAAACGGATGATAAAGACATGGCTAGCTGGTCTTAAACACTTTTCCAGTGTCACATTAAATTTTGATTCCCAGGGAATCCGATGCCTTTTAACGTTTCATTGGTTGAACGTTCACATTCCTCACGAATGTGCAATGTACTACCAGTGAATCAGTATTTCATGGTCCGAAATTCACACAACACCAGCCCAGCTGCGTTTTGCGCGACATCGCGCAGTACGCGCGACGCGCACGCCAATGTCCTTATAAGGCTACGAGTAGTGGAGGGGCATTCCATTATTATACTCAGTGTGGTGTTTCGTAAAACATGACGAAAAATTGTTGAACAAAATGGTTGGCAACGTCTAGTTTTTGACTTGTTTTGATTTTTGGACCAAAAAGATTTGTTTTTGTTTTTTACCGAAAAGGTATTTATGAATGGAAATTAATATGTGTTCGGTCGGTATTAAACACTCTGTTTCAGATCGGTGGGAGTCTGGATGGGTCATAATTACCCTCGGTTTCGCCTCCGGTAATTATCTCCCATCCAGACTCCCACCGGTCTTAAACAGAGTGTTATAATACCTCCCGAACACACATTTATTCCCTTAATAAAGCATACACAATCGATATCACAAAATAATTGCCCAACGCCAAGAAGGTCTCATCATACAAATTCTGTAATAGTCTGACATCCTTACTTAGAATTTGCACAAAGACATACATTTAGAGCATACGTTTATAAGTTTTCGACTATGCATACATCCTATATGTATTCATAAATATAAATAAAAACATAATTATCGTTATCACAAGTTGCCAAAACACTGAAAGGTGTCACCATGCAAATTCTTTAAAATTAATCCTTGATTAAAATGATGCACCAAAAACATTATACAGGGTGGTCTAAACAATGGAACCGCATATTTTTACAACTTGAGACTCAAAACACCTGTACCAATTGATGGATATTCCTTTTAGAAGAATTATGATACCAAAATCTCTCTATTCGGTCCAGTAGTTTTTGCTGCAGAGCCTATTTTGTGAATGACACTTCTTTCATGTGGGTATTAGGCAAAAAAAACAAAAACATATTCGGTCTCTGGTCAGACGAAAGTTTCGGAATTGACGCGGGGACGCGGCTTTTTTTTTTTTTTTTTTTCTTCAAGCTTGGATTGTACAGATTAGGTGGGTACTATTTTGCTTTTTTGGTGTCCTCATGTACATTTGTGTCCTGCATAATTTGCCTTGGTGCCCTCGATCATTTACATTGGTGCGATTTCCCATACCTTGGTGCTCTTTGGTAAAAAAAAATTGCGGAGGTGCGGCAATAGAGGGCGATGTTGGAGCTACCGCGGAACATTTTGGAAAAAAAAAAGATTGACGCGCATGATTAAAATCGACGCGCGCGCTGACCAGAGACCGACTTATTTTTTGGCCTTATACTAATTCGGGCGATTCACAATGCAGTGCGCCACCAAGAAATTGCCATGGAGGTCCATTTTTTTCTAGTTTACGGTCGACAAAACATGGCCCATTTGAATGAATGTCAGAAGACAACTTGAACTAATTTGTTATAGATTGGGGCATAGCGTTCTACCGCCTCACAAAAACACCACATTGATAAAAAGAAAACAAAAGGGCAAACAGATACTCGAAGCATACCTTTACGAAACTACTGACTGGGGAAACGAACAATTTCAAATGTCCCGCGCTGTGAATTTGTCGACCATCTCCCACAATGCACTGGGAAAAATGAACTCTTCGTGGCAAACTCTTGGTGGCGCACTGCATTGTGAATCGCCCGAATTACAATGTAAGTCAAATTCCCGGGCGCGGTTTATTAACTCTTCGGGACAGAGTTTACCCTCACCTTGCTTCACAAAATAGGCTCTAAAACAAAAACTACTGGACCGAATCGGGTGATCTTGGTTTCATGTTCTTTTAAAAAGTTTCACCATGCATTCGTATAAGTGATTTGAGTCTCAGACTAGTGAAAAGTATGCCATTCCGGGTTTTGTTTGACCATCCTGTAACACCAACAAGACATGGTTCAACTCTGGCTGCCAGACAAAGTCGGGAGTATAAAAACATTATTTGGTATATTTCCTTCCTCTTGTTGGTAAATAACAAATATCCAAGAAACAAACCAAGATAGTTTTTGGGTCAAATCTTTAACGACATTCTTTTTCCTCAATGTAACATCATCCCATTTGCTCGGATGGAAAGAAAACCATAACACAAAGACGAAAACTAATGTTTTCGAGGTTGAAACAATCCATGGATACCGCATCGGCATAATAATCATTGTGGTCTACGCAACTGCCGAATTGTCACCGTTTAAAAGAAGTTGAACAGCACAATGTTTGGAAGTTAAATATCAAATCGAATCTTACCTGAATCTTCTCCACCTCGAGAGGAACGGAACCGAAGTAGAAGTAGCAAAAGCACCTTTGTCCAATCCATGCTTCAGTGGCTTCCAACCTGTCGCATGTATATCTTGGCCGACCCTCTCTGAGGAGAATAAAACAAATATTTATCATCATCAGGCAAACATATACTCGCATAAGTATCATCAGGCAGACCTATACTCGTATGGCAAAACAAAATGTTTATAATGGTAAATATCAGTGAATATTTTACGCAAATTCGGTCGATTCACAATGCAGTGCGCCACCAAGAGTTTGCCATGAAGAGTCAATTTTTCAAGTTTACAGTCGACAAAACACGGCCCATTAGAACGAGTGTCATTAGATAGATAATTGAGCTAATTGGTTAAAGATTGGGGCATAGCGTTCTGCCGCCTTACAAAAACACCGTAATGATAAACAAAGGAAACGAAAGGGAAAACGTATACTCGAATCACACGCTTAATACGAAGGATGCAACAGTGCAAACAAATTCCCATAGCCACTAGTGCTAAATGCCCATACTTCAAAATTCTTTTAAAAATACTCAGAACTCTCACAGGTATTTAAGCTGCACAGAAATATGATGATCAACATGTCACCTTTCAATCTCGTTTCATTTTTTGGTGGGTTGACCATTGACTTTACGAGAAATTCTCGCCCGAAGAAGACGACCCCTATTTTTCCCAAAGCGGAACGGTAGCCATCTTGAAAAACGATCCCTCCACAACATGGCAAAATAGCGCCACTTTCGAGCCCAATTGTATCCAAAATGCTCAAAATTGGAAGCCCCGAGTCCGGGCCAGAGGTTCATTGCCATATCTTTTCAATTCCCCAATGTTATCGCTCTTAGAACTATCTAATATAGAATATTTTGAGGGTATAACTTTTATTCATGAGCTCGGCGGATGGGTTTAGGCCTATTTACAGGTGTGCACCCCGAAAGTACTGACCGGAAAAACTAACGATTTCAAATGTCCCGCGCTGCAAATTTGTCGACCATCTCCCACTTTGCACTGGGAGAAATGAACTCTCCGTGACAACTCTTGGTGGCGCACTGCATTGTGGATCGCCCGATTTGTTCAGAGGCGCCTTCAAAAGTTGTGATGTTATAATTTTAGAATGTAACACAAAATGTCTTCCCAAAAAAGGGAACTATTTGTGGTATTTTTGATAACTTTGCGATTGGTAACTTTCCATCGGTCATTCATCTGTGGTTTCAAAATAGGCGACATTTCAAACCTAATTTATTGAGTACCTTGGGCTATGAAAGGAAACACGAATCTCAATTTTGTAGCAGTGATGTTTTGATACAAGGGACACCTATGATTAGGCCTACTTGGCGCAACTGTCATTGCTCTCCGAAATTATCCAGTCAGCCAAGGCATCATACTTTAAAGATAAACTAACCACTTGCAATGTCAAAGATATCTACCGGACCATCCAAAAACTCCTTAACAATAGTTCCTCTAAGTTCCCTACTGGTCATTCTAAGAAGATTATTTGTGATCGCTTTGCCCTGTTTTTCAGTGATAAAGTTGTTCAGATCAGACGTGGCCTTGATAGTATCATTCAATCTGTCCCCATGTATACCATTCCTGGCCATGTTTCTAATGTTATCACCCATCCACTCTCTGAAGTTTGAATGTGTTGATGAACAGGAAATTATCAAATTCATCACTGGTTCCTCTAACAAATCCTGTTCTCTTGATTCAATGCCTACTTGGCTGCTTAAAGCAAATGTCCATGTTCTCGCGCCATTCATAAAACATATGATTAACTCTTCCTTTTCCACAGGTACCTTCCCGCATGACTTGTCTCAGGCTATTGTCACCCCCATACTCAAAAAACCTAATCTGGATGTAGACGAGCTAAAGAATTACCGTCCAGTATCCAATATTCCTTTTTTATCCAAACTCATGGAGAGAATTGTATCAAATCGTGTCAATAACCATGTCAACGACAATTCCCTACATCAACCTTTTCAATCTGCCTATAAGAGCAACCACAGTACTGAGACAGGTTTATTGCGGGTGAAAAATGACATTATGCGAGCCATCGACAACAAGATGGCGGTTCTACTTGTCATGTTAGATCTTTCGTCCGCTTTTGACACCATCGACCACAATCTGTTAATAGCGAGACTTGAAACATCTTTTGGTCTCCATGGGTTAGCTCTGAATTGGTTCCACAGCTACCTTGGAGGACGCCGAAATCGCGTACGTGTTGCTGGGGTGCTTTCGGATGAACAGCCTGTAGATTTTGGCGTTCCCCAGGGTTCAGTTGTTGGGCCTACACTCTTTTAATACTTTCTACACCAAACCAGTTTCTGACATCATTGAGGATCATCATCTGAACTACCACATTTATGCTAATGATACACAGATTTATACCAGTTTCAATCCCCCAATCTCTGGAGATTCTAAAATAGCTCTTGACAAACTATCAGCATGTATCACTGACATTAAATGCTGGATGTGTGCAAACAAACTTCAGCTTAATGATGATAAAACATATTTTTTATTTCCGCTTCTCCCCATAGCATCAATTCTCTCTCTGACCTGACACTTCAAGTAAAATTTACCACTATCAAACCATCACCTTTCTTCAAAAACCTCGGAGTGGTTTTTGACTCTACCATGTCTATGTCACAACATGTCACAACAATATGCAGATCTGTCAACTTTCATCTACGCAATATAAATCGTATTCGGAAGTTCATCGATCAGAACACTTGTCACCATGCAGTACGTTCGCTGATCACATCTCGCCTTGACTACTGCAATTCTCCTTTATACGGCATAAGTCAAGGAGACAGAAGCAGGTTACAAAAACTTCAGAACCGTGCAGCCAGACTCATTTTCTGTGTAAGCCGCTCTACTGAGGCCTCACCGCTCTAGCATCAATTACATTGGCTGCCGATTGAATCACGTATTATTGTTCAAATTAATTCTATACGTTTACAAAACACAACACTGTCTGGCTCCTTCCTACCGGACCGATTTACTCTCTTTGTATCAATCAGGTAGGGCGGGGCTTAGGTCTTCAACAGACACTTCCCGATTACATGTTCCTATTAACACTAAAACCACAGGTGACAAAGCTTTCTCGATTGCTGGCCCCAGGGAGTGGAACAAGATCCCTCAACACATCTGACTTGCATCGTCAATCATCACCTTCAAGAAATCGCTCAAAACACATCTGTTTCTTTAATCAATTCACCTTCATTTTTACCTCTCGTTATCCCCTGGTTCCCTTGTTTATTCTTAAATTAAGTTTTTTGTTTTGTTTTTGTTTTTGCCTTGTTTATTTGTAAATTTGTAGTTTTGTAGTTTTGTACAGCGCTTTGATCTTTGTTAAAAGCGCTTTATAAATGCTCCATTTATTATATTATTATTATTAGGCCAACAAGAAAAAGGTTCCGGTTTCTGATCTGCGCGCGCGTCGCTGCAGCCATGTGCGTCGGCAAAATTTAAAAAAAAAATGTTTTAATGTAAGATGATGTCTCAAAACCGCCAAACTCACTGGTTTGACTGAAAGCCTGCTGCTGCACTATTTTAACGTGTTTTTAGATGGGGTTACGATCGAGTATTAGCTTGATGTGGCCTCTCTGGGCTCCCATACATTTTGCACTAAATTTATCAGCCGACATTTGAAGTAACAAAAGTAAAAAAATTAAAAAAAAAAAGCCTTTTGCGGACGTCGAAGAAAATTTATTTTGTGCATTGGTGATTGGTCACCGCTGTTCCCGAGACACACAACGTGTATATCGTACACTGAGAACGACAGGAAAAACGTATTCGTACTCCGTCGTGTCCGATAACAACCGGTTTTTTCCCCCGTCTTTTCTCGGGAACGATAGGACGTTAGGTTGGTTTCCTTTCAACCAGATGTTTGAAATAGGATAAGTAAACAGTCCAAAACATGAAATTTTCGGGGATTTCAGGACCTAGTGCCCCTTTAACAACCTTTGCCGAATAAAGGTATGTTCACCTTTTGGCCAAACACGGGCCTTTTCGTGGACCTTTTTCAAGTCATTCAATGCCGTTTGCAGCATGTAGCTCTCTTGTGCGGTGGGCTTCAGTTGCGATGCTGCTCTCTTAGTGTGAATAGGATCAGAATGCGTGAAGGATAGATATCACCACAGGCTGGAGGCAAGTTCCCTGAGCCTTGGGGGGAAATGCCTTTGTACTTTTTGCCTTGCCGACCATTGTCTACTTGTTCCCTCAGCGACGACCTGCTCCTAATTTATAACTTTTTTGCTAGGTATATTTACGTCTTCTGGTTTAAAGTTTCGGATGAAATGTAATTTCGCTTTATAAAGGGACAATATTTGTGGTCATTTTTATTACTTTGCCTTTGATAAATTCCAATCGGTCATTCAGCGGCCATCCGTGATTGCATAATAGGCGAAATTTCAAACCTATTTTTTTTCCCCCGGGTTTTTCGCCCCTCCCGTAATCAGCGAATATTATAGTCATTTATTTTCTTGATGTTACAAGATAGAACCAAATTCTTTGTGTACACTGAATTCACCTTATAGTAAAGCCTGTTAGCGATGTTGTTCCAAACTGTACATACAGTTAAAATAGTTTTACAATATATTGTATTTATAATATTTGCAATTATGCATTAATCCCATTGTATTGCAGTGTAGTGTAGTGTAGTGTAGTGTAGTGTAGTGTAGTGTAGTGTAGTGTAGTGTAGTGTATTTGTAATGAATGGTGTTATTTTTGTATACATGTTTGTAGTCATTTTGTATTGTATGCAGGGCCCAAATAGAAACCACTTTTTGGGCATACCCTGGGTAAAAAACTGTAATAAATAAATGACTTATTGAGTACCTTCGGCTATGAATATAAACACGAACCCCAATTTTGTAGCAAACTTGACTGTTTACAAAGATAATCGTAATGTCACAAACAGTATTGCATGTTTCTGTCTTCACCTCTGAAAACTGCCCGATCACTGTCTATTTCAACTGATTCATCAAGGAGAGAAAATATAACATAAACATAGTGTATTTAAATGTGTATTTCATCCCGCTTATGTTTACACGTTCTTTCTTTTTTCTTTGTAGACGCCTTACACAATAATTATTCCGTGTCCGAATGCAACCAGAGATAAAAATCGTACCTTATTTATACTGTTACCGAGCTATTTGAAAGGTAAAGGCGACTGGATAACGGATTGAACAAAAAAAATATCTTTTTTCCCACATGCATGGGCTTGCCCACTCAGGTTTTCCCTTACCTACACGGGCAAGCCCATATTCTGCCCACATTGGCTTGTCCATGTTTATCCTATCTGATACCTACACGGGCAAGCCCATATTCTGCCCACATTGGCTTGTCCATGTTTATCCTATCTGATACCTACACGGGCAAGCCCATATTCTGCCCACATTGGCTTGTCCATGTTTATCCTATCTGATACCTACACGGGCAAGCCCATATTCTGCCCACATTGGCTTGTCCATGTTTATCCTATCTGATACCTACACAGGCAAGCCCATATTCTGCCCACATTGGCTTGTCCATGTTTATCCTATCTGATAACTACACGGGCAAGCCCATATTCTGCCCACATTGGCTTGTCCATGTTTATCCTATCTGATAACTACATGGACAAGCCCATATTCTGCTAACATTGGCTTGTCCATGTTTATCCTATCCAAGGGCGGATACAGGGGGGGGGGACCAAAGGGGGCCAAGCCCCACCCCCCCCACACGAAACCATTTTTTTTTTTTATGTGACATCGCAATAAAGGCAGGCAATGAGTACACCACCATCTTTTCCTCAAAAAAACATTGGTTAAAGTGGTCAGAAATTGCCTCAGATCGCACCACAGAGCATCTAGAATCCAAACATTTTTCGGGGCCCTTAAGCGGGCCCCGAACCCCACGCCGTAATTTTTTTGACCCACTTTTTTGGGGGACCAAATTTTTTTTTTGGCCCCCCCCCAAAAAAAAATTGTGTTCTGGATCCGCCCTTGATCCTATCTGATATCTACATGGTCAAGCCCATATTCTGCCCACATTGGCTTGTCCATGTTTATCCTATCTGATATCTACATGGGCAATCCCATATTCTGCCCACATTTGCTTGTCCATGTTTATCCTATCTGATACCTACATGGGCAAGCCAATATTCTCCCCACATTGTCTTGTCCATGTTTATCCTATCTGATACCTACATGGGCAAGCCCATATTCTGCCCACATTGGCTTGTCCATGTTTATCCTATCTGATACCTACAGGGACAAGCCCATATTCTGCCCACATTTGCTTGTCCATGTTTATCCTATCTGATACCTACATGGGCAAGCCCATATTCTGCCCACATTGGCTTGTCCATGTTTATCCTATCTGATACCTACATGGGCAAGCCCATATTCTGCCCACATTTGCTTGTCCATGTTTATCCTATCTGATACATACATGGACAAGCCCATATTCTGCCCACATTGGCTTGTCCATGTTTATCCTATCTGATACCTACATGGGCAAGCCCATATTCTGCCCACATTTGCTTGTCCATGTTTATCCTATCTGATACATACATGGACAAGCCCATATTCTGCCCACATTGGCTTGTCCATGTTTA